GATGGGTGAGTATAACTACTCAATAACTAAGATCAATCTAACCTATACTATTGCATATCAATTAATTATATATGCAAATGGCAATTAATAACTTCATAAACATCATATGCATATACTTTGAATATAGCCTCAGCCACAAAACTAATAACTATGTAATTGGGTATAAACATATATCATCACATAATTTCAAAATACACAAAATGAGGTTGCAATAATAATAACCATGCGCCCCTAATAGAAAACATGCTGGACCACAATAATAACAACTATATAGTCAAAAATAAAATGCATGATCAATGCCAACCTTATACCTTCCCGATACCTTTGACATGAAACCTGTGGTCATTCAATAGCTACGTCCTCAACTTGGACTAACCCAGCCTTCCACTCATGAAGAGCTGTCTGGCTAGGGCAAACCTACTCACTTGTGATTCACATTTTCTTCCAATACTAACAATTATGGGGTGTCGTATCCCTAATCTAGTTTCTGTATGAACTAGTGGAGACTAGTTAGGTTCGAGTTCCTCAAAAAATAAGTAGAATAGTTCCTGATCAACCATGGGATAATGGCTACCTCCTAATTTTAACTGTTAGTGCCAAGGCAAGCTTTCAATTTCAATAGTAAGTCACTACTACCACGTGGGTTTAACACAACTACTCCTCTTCTTATAAGCGAAATCCTGCCTAAATGATCATGCCATGCACACATTAACAATTTACATGCCATTTAACGACATTAATCATATCACATCATATTCACACAATATTCTTTCTCCATTATACTCCACATACCAAATATCACATATTTATTATTTTCATAATGGCATGCTCTCAATCATCATCATTAATCACATATGTATAAACATGCATATTGTTCTCAACAATCCAACACAATTTCACACACATAATCCATCACATTACCAAAATTTACATCAATGGGTCTTCAATTACCCAATAAATTTTAAACAGTTTAATTTAAAAAAAATTAATTGACAAACAACTATACAAATTAGATTTTTTCTCAATTACTTTAAATTTTTAAGAGGTCAAAGGTTTATCCCTCAATAGAAATTTTTTATAAGCTATATCAAAGCTTGAATGGTGCATAAAATGATTAATCTATAATTAATCATACTAATCATCATTAATATTACACAAACACTTTTTCAACTTCCATAAATCAATAATTTAATTACTAAAATTTGAATTTCTTGCACTTAAGCATAACCATCGGGTTTATTAATTTCTATTAACTTCATTTAGCTTTTATTAACTTAAACAATCACTATATAATATTCAACAATCTAAAATTACACTTTAGAAGTCTAGGATTCATCCAAAATGAATGATTATGTGTAGAATACTTAAACAACTCTCATTAGTTTCATTTAAACCAATGAATTTGGACCTATAGTCTTAAATCTAAAAATCATCATCTTTCAACCTTAAGTCTTACTTCCAAAACATATAAAGAGAAGAAGAAGAGGAAAAGAAGGTATACCTAGTTGAAATCAAGCTCTGAACACCTATAAAATGCTCAAAAGTTGATGCCCTAACAGAGAAAATACTCACTTGATCACATTTTCTCTGTTTTTAAACTGATTCACACTTTTTTAAAAAACCTGTTCAAGTGACCCAATTCACTTTCAAACCTAATCCAAAAGCTAAAGCCAAATCTAATAGCCATATCTAACTATCCTCAAACTTAATTATACTTAAATTTATATAATCACCCTTCATTAGATTAATAAATCATGAAAACATTTTTTAAAATGTTACAATACTACCCACATAGATTCAGCTTAAAGCCATATACAAGTCATCACTCAAAATTTACATCATTTTTTAAATTCCATATAATTCACAGGAAATCATGTATCATATAATGCATGCTCAAATCCCCTTATAACCTCACTGTGACCTTTGATTGATGTGAACTAGAGTTATAGTGGATTGCTCATGAGTTATAGTGGATTACATGTGTATATGTGGTTGTTTGTATATAAAGATTTACATTATATAATTGAAAAAATTGTTAGCCTAATAGCTAACTATCTTTTTAATGGCTGAGAAGATATGGGTTTAAACCCTACCTTGGCCACTTTAAAAAAATTAATTTGGACCATAGTTTCCCTTACTAAAACTTCAGTGTGTCATGATATGCCTAATTAACATTGCTAATTCAAGTAGTGAACATGAGCAAGTGCCTGACCAATACTGCCAATCTGAATGGTGAAACTAAGCGCGCGCGCACGTGCGCACATATATTTTCATATAAATTACTACTGAGGGGTGATCTTAGTAGGGTAGACCATGAATTTTCATAATATTCATATTTTTCCCTACAAGTAAACTCCCACCTTTATGCATGCATCTCCATTAATAAATTTATATATGCAAATATTTTAGAGCAATTTCTCATTTTAGAGTTCACACACAGTCTAATTCACTATGTACATCATTTCATCACATACATTATTAATTATTAATACTCCAAATAACACATAAACATGATATACATACTCAAATCATTTTCATAATGTCTCACAGAATCAACATGTCACATTTAAATTCATATTTCATAACTCAGATGCAACCCATTATTTTAGTAAGTAAAACAACATAAATAATTTCCCAAGAAATGTTACAAACTATACCATATATCAACTTAAATTCTCAATTACATCAAAGGTTTAATTTCTTACTCTTGAGTTCTATTATACTCGGAACTCGGTAGTTCCTTAGATGAACTCACATTATAGATAGGTTTTATATAAATAATTGAAACAATTAGAACTCTTTTTGAGACTCAGATGAGCAAACTCTGATAATTCAAATATGAGATCTAAGCCTAGGGCAAGATTTCAAACATTAAATTTATTGAATATAGACTTAAAAGGTGTAGATTGGTCCTAGAGGATTTACCTTAGTGAAATCTAACTCAATCGGGGCTCCTTAAGTCAATGGAGGCTAATATTAGCAGAGAGAATTTAAAAACTGCACCTCTGTAATGCTTGAAAGTGATTTTTTATTCAAGTTTTTGGCCGAGATGTCTATTTATAATTTTCCCAAAACACATTGCTCTCCTCGGCGAGATATCGCACTCACCTTAGCAAGTCCTGTACTTCTTACCTCAACGAGTGCCATAGTTTAGCCCTACTTAATTTAGGCCCTCTAGCTTTCATTCAGCCCCCAAACCTAGGGTTAACACCTTATCTTAAGAAACGCTAAGACCCTTAATCAATACTTTAACTCTTGAATTCTCAAATCTCACTAATATCTCATTTCCCAGGATCTTACACCAGGCCTGTAAGGGAATAGTCTCAACTTCAGATTGTCGAAGTTGTCATAATTGGCAATTTTATCATATTGAATAGTGAATCTACCAACGTGCTCCAATGTCGATTGTGTACCATCTCCAGAGAATAGGGTAAAGTTCAGGATTCTATAGCCTCTAGGATAAGAATTGTCTCAGTCTATATGCTTCAAGATATGGTTTCACGAATGTAGACTAGCCATTAATAGTTTAACAAGTAACTGTTTGTAAAATGATAAGTAACTATTGAACTCTTGTTAAATATTGGTATGGAAAGTGAAAACAAAGTTATATATATATATGTATGCATGTATGTATATAAAGATTTGCATTATATAATTGAAAGGAATTGCTAACCTAGTAGCTAACTATTCTTTTAATGGCCAAGAGGATGTGAGTTTGAACCCCACCTTGGCCACCTTAAAAAAAAAAAATAATGTCTCCCTCGTCGGTCTGATGATAGGTGTTAGAGCTCTAATAGGCAGTTCAGCTACTGGTATTAAAGATTCAATGGCTGGTCCAATAGGGTGTTCTAGCCACCGGTACCATTTTTTTAAATGAGGGATAATTTTATTTCTTCACACTAAAAATTAATTATGTTTTGACTCCTTAGTCCCGCAGCGTGAATTTAGAATCATTTGATCCTTGTTTGTGAATAAAATGCTTTAAAGGTCCTTCACTATGATATTCCAAAAAAAAAAAACTATTTTAGATTAAGAAGAGTCTTTTAAACAAATGATTGTATATTTTAACTCACAAATTTTATGTTTAAAATAAATTTAGTTGGAACGTAGAAAGGATTTTTTTTAAAACAGAAGGAAATCTATTATTTACTCTCAATATTTTAATGAATATTAATTAGTCTCTTGTGGAAACAATAATATATGCTAAAGTATTTTATCCCCAAAAACACGGCATAGTTAAGATAAAATGTTTTTGTTATGCTAGTGTAAACAATGGTCTCACATTTGAGTCTTGAACCTGTAACTATGTTAAATACTCATTGGGAGAATTTTGACGCCCATATAATCTTACTTAACATGGCCTAGAAATAATTGGTAACTGTATAAAAAGAATAAAAAATAAAATTATTTTACCCTCACTCAAGACACTCTCTCTGCTCTTTATTATTAGATAAACTATTATTTTTTACTTATTTTTTTTATATAAATAAAATCAACCACTTCAATAAATATTTATTTTATATTTTCTAAACTACGCTTTATAATTTATATTAACGAGAAATAATTAACGCACTTTAGTTTAATTTTTTTATTTTTAAACATAATTATTATGGTTAATCAATTTTTTTCTTTTATATATAAAAATGGAGAGAGTAGTGCATCAACCGACCACAGGACCCAAAGGGAGGTTATAGGGAAAATACAGATGAAGGATTGCTGAAAAAAGTTTATATCAATCAAGAACTCGTTGTTATCAAAATTTGAATGAAAAAAAACTCAAATAGATTGTTATTAATTTAGAACAAGTTATTGTTAAAACTTAAAAGAATAGTTACTGATAAAAGACTAACCTATATTGATAAGTATCTATTTTAATTTTAATAATAAATAATTTTTTATTAATATAAATTTCCTCTTACGGTCCTTATTTTATGTTTTTCCAAGGTTATATGGGTATTCTTACGATTATATAAAATGCTGAGGACTGTCTTGCACATCCAACTTTATTTTGGACCGTGGGGGGAGCCCAACGAACAAATACCCGAGACGAGAAGTGTCGTCTGAAACGGAAAATCGTAGGGTGCTGCGATAGAGTTCCGAGCTCATAAGATCTGTTATGCTCCTTACCGTAAGGTTTACGTCCATAATTGTTCCGAAGCTTTAATCCTTCTCGGACTACATGGATCCCAACCAGGTGACGAAACTAGTTCCATTTAAGTCTTCGATTTCGAGGCTTCTCGCTTTCGATTTTTTTGTTCAGGAATGGGTTTACGCTGTAATCTATCTCTTTGTCCCCCGCCCCCGGGTGTATGCGCCGCGATCTTTGTTAATAATAGGCTTTTGCCTATGATTAGATCTGGTTTGCAATGTTAGCCTGATGTTCCTTGGCTGAACTTTTAACGATCTATCTTTAATTATATATTTCTACGATGTTGAAGGAAATCAATATGCATGTTAAGTTGAATGCAGAGTGTGTGTTCATAATTGAGGGCTGATTGAATCAACAGATGTGGAACTCATGCCTTGGTTCAGAACTTCTTGTATATTTTGCCTTCTTTGATTAACTAGAATATTTGAGGCTCTTTGCAAGCCTTTTGTTTGTTTAGAAATCTCATACTGCTGCTTGCCCATTACATACTTATTAATTTTTCTTCCATGTGCAGCCTGTGGGTGAAAACTACGCCAATCCAAAGACTTGCTTCTTTCATGTTCTATTCAAGGTTTAACTATGTTCTTCGCACAACTTTCTTAATTAACCGTATTGACATCCTATAAATAACTCTTTTCGTATCTGGCAGGCTGCAGCCTTGGCATTTTACATTCTTTCTGCCCTTTTCGTTGATAACTTTGTCATCATATTTGTGGTGACTGTCCTTCTTGCTGCTCTCGATTTTTGGGTTGTCAAGAATGTCAGTGGGCGTATTTTAGTAGGATTGAGGTGGTGGAATGAGATAAATGATATGGGGGAAAGTGTCTGGAGATTTGAATCTCTTGACCAAGAGGTAGGTGTTCTGTAAATTTTTACGTGGTGTCATCTTCGTTGAAATAATACCTAACTCCTTGTCATCTATTATACCTACTCAATTTCATCCGGAGTACAATAGAATGTAATCCTAGTGGTCAATAGATACTTGCATCTCAGTCTTTCTCTTTTCCCCTCCTTCAGTCACTGGCCCGGATGAATAAGAAGGATTCGTGGCTTTTCTGGTGGACCCTTTACCTTGCGGTAAGAAAATATAGATTGAATACAGCATACAATACTCAGTTTTTTTATTCTTATACCTATTCAATATAGAATATCAAGTATCAATTATTGCAAAGAAGAAAATTGTTTGTTTTTTAAAAAGGGGAGGGGGTATTGAACATCCTGTTATGATCTTACTAAATGAGAGGGTTCATGTGGTGTATGAGATTCAATTTCGATCGATGATTAAATTACATATGTTGCCTCTGCTTGAACTGCTTCCTTTTCATGTATATTATTTTTACCTTTAATTCAAGCGTATGAATGTCCTTAAGCGAATCTACTCAAAGAGTGAAGTTTTTTCCCCCAGGCGATTGTATGGATCGTGTTTGGAATATTCTCACTCATAAGGCTTCAAGCTGATTATCTCCTTGTCATAGGAGTCTGTTTGACCCTAAGCATTGCAAATATTGTGGGTTTTACCAAATGCCGGAAAGGTGCGCAAGTAGTTTATTGATTTGTTTAGAATTCATATTTTTTTCTCCTATGAGTGGTGTGGAGTACCTTGGTTTCCCATCCCCCGGGAGGTCGGTATCTGGTGTTGATATCAGTTTACTACTGTTTCCGCGACATTAATTGTCAAGTTAATCATGTCATTCAAGAACGGATAATTGTGTCCTCCTGTAGATGAGGCCACTTGTACTATAACACCTCTTTCACGTTTAGGAAAAGTGGTAAATTATGACGCTGAATTTTGCTCAATTCTTGTGGAGCTGTAACAAATAAGGAATTGTGTATAGCATATTTCGCGTGAAACAACGAAGTGTGATTTTTCTAGTCAGCTCCTTGGTGGTATAGCACGGCGGGCCTCCGTTAGTCCTTAACATGACTTATTTAATGATAAAACTATGAGATTTACAAACTTGTGTCGATATTTACTGCAGCACTTCTGGCTAAATGGCTCCTGCTTCCTCTCTTTCCTGTATGTTAAGGAATCCTCTGCATGAGTTTTACCTCGAGCGTCATTATTTCATCTAACAGTTCTCTAGCTCTTTACTTGCTATCCTCTGGGAATTTGGTGTTCATCATGCTAAATATGCTTATCTTGCTCTCAGACGCTAAGAAGCAGATTCAACAATTTGCCACTCAGACAATTGCCTCGCGGTTCACATCTTCCATACAGTCAGCATTCAGTGTTGTCTGAGTTATCCGTCGCCAAAGATGGAAAAGCTAGCTGAACAAGTGCGTCATAGGATGCATTGTTATGTTTTGGTGATTTGTAAAAAACCATGTCTGCCAGCATTGGATCGGATTGAGTCTGAATTGAGCTGTCAGAGGTACGAGGCAGGATATTCTGAAATTTTGTACTTGATTATATGTAATGGATTGAGTGAGACTGATGGAATTACATAGCCGATACAATATGCCATTTCTTTATTTCAGATGGAAAAATCATATCCGTCATTTAATTTTCTTCTCTTGCGCCGGTAGTAAAAGAGTTTTCCACTGAGACTCTACAGCGAGGATTGGCAAATTACAAGTACCTTAGCTTGCTCCAAGATAGCGGAACTCACATCGATGGAACGACTGTCAATTACAGATCTTTTTAAGTTTTAACTAAAAAATTATGCCTTCGTTTTAATTTAATTAAAATATTCAATCATGATTTCTTTTATAAACTTAAATATATTTTTTATGCATAAAAAAGGTGTGACAACTTGATCTCCTGATAAGTTACTTCCTTTGATCCTCATTGCATGGCACCTGTATCATCTTACGTGATAATATACCACCCATCATCTTTACCACCCATGGCCTTTGGTAGCTTATTCAATCATCAATCAATTTATTATATAAAAGTACAATGGAGGAGCGTAATTATTTTATTAATTATTTATTGTTTATTGATATGATTTCAAATTTTCCATTTAAATCATGTATAAGTTGTAAAAATTTAAATCCTTATACAGATGGTTGAGAGTTGAGGTTAGATATATTTGAAATTAATTCTTGTAAATGTAGAGGGTAAGCCTAATTTTTATATATAATGTTATAATTTATAAATTTAAGAAGCGGATGTTAATAATTTTGAGAAAAATTAATTTTACAACGGAAATACAGAAATAGGCACCTATTTTTTTAAAGTACGAATCATTAAAACATGTTAAATTAACTTGTTTTTGGATCTCTCTATTTTGTTAGGAGTTGACATGAACAAGTGCGCGCGCGCATATATAGGAATTTAAAATTGTAAACTTTTTAAGACGAAAATGGCTTAGTGCTCAGTTGGATTTACGTTGAAAATCAATTACTTGTATAGAAATCATGTTTTGGCAAAAATTAAACATCTATGTTACATGTTAAAATAAATTATAAATTCAAAACTATGTTTTCTTAAAAATATTTAAACATCCATTATACATGCTAAAATTAATTATGAATCTAAAATTATAATTTTCTTAAAAATATTCAAACACTTCTTATTATATCAAAATCAATTATGAACAAAAAAAATATGATTTGTAAAATAATTTATATAATTTTTAGATAAATTTTTAGAAATTTATAATTGAAAAATTGAATTGAAAAGCATGTAGTAATAGCTTATGAGATAACTATGGTTTTGAATTCATAATTAATTTTGACATGTATGGAGATGTTTGAATATTTTTTAAAAAACCATAATTTTAAGTTCATAATTAATTTTAACATGTATAATTGATATTTGGATACATTTTTTTAAAAACAAGATTTTGGATTCATAATTGATTTTAACATGTAACATAGGTGTTTTGATATATTTTTACAAAATCATGGTTTTACCTTATTTTCAATTCTACTTTTCAATTTTGATTAAAATAAATCTTATTAATCAATTTTATAAACTAATTATGAACCACATAACATAATCAATTATATTAGTCAATTTTTTCCATAATCAATTATATCCAACTACAATCTAAACACATCTTTACACTTTAACAAAAGTTTTGATCAACTTAAAGACTCCCTTAACCGCTGGATTCTAGGTTCCTTGACCTAACAGAAAGCTACTGTGGGGTTAATGTCTACTATGAATGCCATGAAGGACCTGGATAAGGGTAAGAAGTATGGTAGTTGGATTGGGGTGGCTTGTGTTAGATCCATGGATGAGGTGGTAGAGGTGTGTCAGGTGGATTAGATTGAAGCAAAACTACTTCGGGAACCCAAAACACAAAATGCTAATGAACGTTGGATGGAAGAAGAACATGCCTTTCAGCACAACAAAGTTAAGGCCAAAGCTAAAGGTGCAAGTTGTGGATCTAGCGAAAAATCTGGCATCATGGGGGAAAATGGCAATTTTGGTTATAATAATTTGGGAAGGGGTTGACATGGCAGATAGATGTAATGAAAATCAAAATGATTATTCCAAGTGCATATTGTTGATATTAGTTCAAAAGCACTTACTATTATAGTGACGAGGTTCAGATTTTAGATGGCCCAAAGCTCTAGTATTTATTCAGCCCAGGGTGAAACCTCTGTTTATGGAGGCCAAGTTGATAGTCCTAGTCCATAGATGAGTGTTAGACAAATTCAAATTTAATTTATTTTTTGAGCCATCCGCTGTTACAGATGATACAAAAGTGGTCCAATTCTCTTTCAAGACTGATCCAGAGACTGTAAACAAATCCCATTTGCTGTCTCTAATCATCCTCAACTTAATCTTAACTTAAATTTACTCAATTATCTTTCATTAAATCAATTAATAAGAGAGTTAGTTTTCATGATGTCACATGAGTTTTTTTGAAGGTGGTTATCAAATTGGGGCTTTAAATGATACAAATATTACTCTCATTCCAAAAGTTGATAATCTTAAATTTGTCACTTATTTTAGACATTTAAAACTTTGTAATTTTTTCTGTAGGGTTATTTCAAAAATTTTAGCTAATCAATTGAAACCTTATCAAAACGTGTGTTTCCTCTAACCAAGGAGCCTTTGCACCTAGGGGCTTTATACGTGATAATGTAGCTCTTTCCCATGAGGTTTATCATTACTTGAGAAAAAAGAAAACTAATAAAAAGTATTAATTTGCTCGAGATATATATATGAGTGAGGCGTACAGTTGGATTCGACAGGACTTCTTGAAACTGGTTTTGCTAAAGTTCACATTTTGTTGAAAATGGGTGGGCGTAATCATGAATTGTGTAGAATCTGTTCATCTAAATCTTTGTTTGTCGAGATCTAAAGTCGCTTCCATCAAGTGGGAAAGAGGTTTGAGACAAGGGAATTCGTTATGTTCGTATCTGTTGCTCTAGTCTTTGATGTTCTATCCAAGCTTGATTCACAAACATCAAAGAATGGCCACGCAAAAAAAAAAAAAAAAAATACAGTGCAAATTTAGCTTTACTCGCAATCTCTCTATTTATTTACTTCTTATTTATTATTTTAATTTTTTTTCACTATTTGTATTTTTGTACCATAATTATATTTTCTATTTTTTTTTTCAATTACTCTTTTTTTCCAATTTTTTAAATTTTTAGGTGAATCAAATCTCTCTTTACCTAAAAAGGTAAATCGCATTTCTTTAAATTTATATTGGCTATTGGCCAATAAAATTAATCACCACCTTGCTCACGAGAAGAATGATTAATTTATCTTTTCTTCTCTCAGGACCCCCCAGGCCTTGGCATCAGGTTTTTTCGGTTCTTCGATTTGTAGTTGGAGCACCCACCTCCTTTCGATCACATAGCAGAGGACGAGATCAGAGATGCTGCAGTGCATATTTCTTCTGTCCGATTCCGGGTGAGTTGTTTTGGTGATTGCATTTAGCGAAAAATAGTGTTTTTCAGTTCTACTCTTCTAGATTGTTTAAGCATATGCTAATTAGATAATTTAATGAATTCAATGGTATAAATTCGTCAATTTCTTTCCATTTTCCGGTGTTTGATGATTGCCACTGGCATTGATTGGTCGACTCCGAAACTTTGATTGCTTAGAGAGGTCATGCTAGAGAAACAACTTACTGGGCACCGCGTAGATCGATCTATATGTGCCTGGTTTTGGGAGCAGGCCGTTTCGCAAGGTGATTCGTTCAAGGTATTTTCTTCAGTCCGACGAAGTTGTATTTGTCTGTTCATCAGTTATATTGAGATTTTTCCCCTGGTGTGCCAGTTGTATGGAGCTTACTGAGCATTATTTAGCCATTCTGTTCAGAAATTTTATTCTTTTCATATATGCTACATTTAACTTTTATCTTGCTCAATTCTGGCCTCTTTATAATACCTGTGCTTGTATACAGCAACTACCAGTAATTGCATCCCCAACACATTATCTTTTCCAAGTTTTTAGGGAGGGAATTACTTTTTTGGCGTGCACCCAAGTTGAAATGCCACCATTGATGGGCATTGAGGTAAATGTGCTGTGCAACTCATAATGTGGTGCTACATGAATCGTGCTAATTTTGTTTTTAACTATCTGATCTTTAGTTCCTTTGTAGGGTAGCTGATGTCCTCAATGATTATCTTGGAGGGTTGAACGAAGACGTGATAAAAGACAACTTTGTTATTGTATATGAGGTACTTCTGTGATATTATGATGTTGGGAATTGACATCCTTGAATCTGTACTTTGATATGAGGCACTTCTGTGATGCTTCGCTGTTGGGAATTGACATCCTTGAACCAGTGCTTTAAATATCTACTGATAGGTTGTATTTGTGCTTATTATGCATAGGTTTATGATTTTAATATATAAATTTAATTGTCAGTCAGCATTCCAGTAGCCAATTTGTTTATTTAAATTCATGGATATGAATTGTGAAGTTAATTCACTGTAACAGGGAGAAACATTCTTATGATTTACTTTCACCAAAAAAGAAAAAAAAAACGTTTCTATTCGCCTTTTACCACATTCCCATTTGAACATTTTTCTGAATTGTTGTATAACTTGTAGTTTTGTCCATTACTTTGTGTTGCATTAATGAAAAATGTCACTTCGTTTGATTCTGGCAGCTGCTAGATGAGATGATAGACAATGGCTTCCCACTAACTACTGAACCTAATATCCTTCAAGAAATGATAGCTCCCCCAAATATTGTCAGTAAAATGTTGAGCGTTGTTACTGGAAACAGTTCAAATGTGAGTGACACCCTTCCAGGTGCAACAGCATCTTGTGTACCATGGAGAACAGCAGACCTGAAGTATGCAAATAATGAAGTTTATGTAGATCTTGTTGAGGAAATGGATGCTATAATAAGCAGGTCTCAATGCTCAAACATTCCCATGCTTGTTTTTCAGTTCCCAACATTGATATTGTTTTTTGGATAGAAAAAGATCCTACTGTTGATATTCCTTTGAAGTAGCTGGAAAACCTGAAATATTACAGTGATTAAGCAATTGATTAGTTTGCCAATGACCCTGAAAAACATTGTACAGATGTGCCTCTGTGAGCTGTAAAGTGTGGGAGTCTTATATGCTCACTTTCCACTTGAATTTTTTAATTCCTCAAGGTGTATCTTGGAAGATATAGCTTGATATCTGACACGGGGTGACCTGTTTTCTGGAAATGGGATGTTGCTTAGTTTGAACCTGTGGAACTTTGACTGTTTGGTCTTGATGCAGACTTCTGAGGGGTGATTGAAGATTATTTTTAAATTATTTTATTTAAGGACACTTAACTTGCGCTTCATATCTTTCAGCTGCATGTTTTGTTTGTTACAAAGTTCTGTTCTTTCAGGGATGGAGTTCAGGTGAAATGTGAGATCAACGGTGAAGTTCAAGTAAATTCCCATATCACTGGTATTCCTGATTTGACTCTGTCATTTGCAAATCCTTCTATTCTAGATGATGTGAGGTTCCATCGCTGTGTTCGATTTCGGCCTTGGGAAGCTCATCAAATTCTCTCATTTGTGCCTCCTGATGGACAGTTTAAGCTAATGAGTTACAGGTAATTTACTTAGCTTTATGTTGATTTCTAAATCAGGATTTGAGACCACCGTGATGATAGTTAAGCTTTGTTGTCATGGTTTTGATTGTGCTCTCTACCTTGAACCAAAGTCCCGCATGTGTGAGAAGTCGCGTTAGAGAAAAGATATAATCCTGAATATTTATTTGTTTATTGGTTTTTTTGGATGTCCCATTGTATTTCAAGTGGCTAGCTTTTAACCTTTTCAGGGTCAGAAAATTGAAGAGCACCCCAATATATGTGAAGCCACAGTTAACATCAGATGGGGGAACATGTCGTGTTAACGTATTGGTTGGAATACGAAATGATCCTGGAAAGACAATTGATTCAGTTACTGTTCAGTTTATTCTTCCTCCTTGCATCTTATCAGCTGATCTCACTTCAAATCATGGAACAGTAAACATCCTCTCTGACAAGGTATCTACTTTGCATATTATCATAGCCAGTGGCAGTCTTTCTGCTAATAGATTGTCTAATGTAGACACCGAGAAGAATCACAAACTTCAGAGATCTATGATTTCAATGTATTTTCATACTTTGTCTTGTTTTCTCAGACATGCACTTGGTCCATTGGACGGATCCCAAAAGATAAAGCCCCATCAATGTCCGGAACACTTGTGCTTGAGAATGGATTGGAGCGCCTTCATGTTTTCCCAACATTTCGGGTGGGTTTTAGGATCATGGGCGTTGCCCTCTCGGGTTTGCAAATAGATAAACTGGATCTGAAGAGCGTACCCTACCGTTTCTATAAAGGCTTCCGAGCTCTTACTCGGGCAGGTGAATTTGAAGTCAGGTCATAATTTTGCATTTGCTATTGTGTTATCTGAAGTGATATTCCAGGAAACGAAATTTTGTTGCGTGTAACAAAAACCATAATGCTATTGAATTTTAGTTTGGTTGGTTTTACTTTTCATTGTGAAATAGGTTAATCATGTTTTTCTCTGCCTTTTAAATATGAGGTGAGGGTATGTGACTTGTGCATGGATGATGATGATGATGATTAAATGGAAATGGAAGATTGACTTCATTTTAATTATTGACTGAAGCTTCTGAACGATTAAGGTGACAACCTGTAGAAACTCAGCATCCAGTTATTCTGTGCTTTCAACATCATTTTCTTTAAGGCCCTCTTTTTTTATAGCTCACATTATTTTCTTATTGAAAGAAATTCTGTTTGAGACATTGTTGGGTGCTAATATCTCGTTTAATTATTAGAAAAGTATGGAATGGATTGAAAAAATAAAAGTAAAAATAAAATGATTAAAAATAATAGTGAACCATATTAATAAAGGGAAGGGGTAATTTAGTTTATGAATTTGGGAATCATAATTCATAAAATTTTGAAAGAGCGTGATGATTCTCACATTTGTAATATGTATTAGTGAGTTTTATAATGCTTATCATAACAATAAATGATGATTTACTTCATTTTTGTGTTTATTTTTTGATTCATTTCATTCATTTCTAACAATGATTTAAATGTTAGGATTGGTAGCAGTTTGCACTTCAATTTTAGTACAAAAGCAGATAGATATGTGGATTGGAGGATGCTGTACCTCTTGCGTATATTTTGCCAAATACATTTTACATGTTTACTGGCTGCAAATTTTGATGAAGTACCAAATGAAGCAAATATAAATAAGAAAAGTATTAATGTGAACTATAAAATTTATACTAAATGAATATGTAAATCATGGATAATACAAGTCATAACTCAAAATTAATGCAGAGTATGGAGTATAGTAATTAGGTATGTTTTTTTTTTTGGGCCTAAAAGTAATTAGGTATGTTATAGATAATCAATACATTAACACACTATTATTATATAAAATTTACAATAAATAATAAATAAATTATATCTTAATTTTAAATAACTTTTTTCAAACTTAATAAGGAGTTATAAAATGAAAACTAGTAGTTTTCTCATAAAAGTAGTTAATAATACCATACATGGTGGGAGATATTTGCCCTGCCAAAAAATACATCTCAGGCAATTTTAACTGTGAATATTTCCTTCAAAACACTGTGATTGTTTGAGATGTCATGTAGTTTGCTTAAATTATATTCTCTTTTATCCTTTTTATAAGTTGTTTCTAACTATTTTATCAAAATCAATAAGGGTAGTTACATTGTTGATATTGTCTTGAAAAGAAAAAAAAAATTCCATCTCACCCTTAATAAATGCATAACCTTCAAAAACATTTTTCCTCTCATATAATTTTGAAAAAATGAATCATTTGATCCTTGTAGTTTTGACTTAGTTATTATTTAATACTTGAACTTTGATTCATTATAACTCATTCGTTAAAATTTTGATTCGGTTGTAAATTAATTCCTAAAGTTTTAATCTCTTACATATTAATTTCTATATTTTTAAAAAATAAAATTATAAAGATTCAAAATATTTTATAATTTATTTCTAATATTTTAAATTATTAAACCTTTTTAATATTTATAAATATTAAAATTTTAAAATATTTTTAATTTTTATAATTTTATTACTTAAAACATAGAGATCGATATTTAACAGGCTAAAATTTCAGGGACTAACTTACAAGAGGTATAGTTTAAGGATTGATTTATCATCGAGTCAAAACTTCAAGAATTGAGTTATAACGAGTTAAAATTAAAGGATTAAGTTACAACTGAATTAAAATTACAAAAACTAAATGACTAATTTTCTCTATAATTTGTTATTTGCTACTCAAAGAAAATTGTAAAAGGGTAAAATTAAAAGAAATTCATTAATGATACACTTTTAAATGTAAAGTGACTTACAAAAAAGATAATGAATTTGTCCTAGAGGCAATATATATAGGACTAGAAGAAGTACTCACTTGTAGGCTTAAAAATTAGTTAGGGGTAAAAAAAAAAAATATTTAGGTTAGAGTAGTTGGTAAAGGAGTTTTTTTCCCCTAATTATTGTTAGGTTAAAAGCTAGATTTTAAAGCTTTTACATTAATTATGTTGAAGTCTAACCATTAACTACATTTAATGTATTTTAAATTTATTGAATAACTTATTCATCCTTTTCCATTTCCTTTTGAAATTTGATATTTTTATTATTTACAAGTTTAACATTTTTAATATTTGTAATTTATAAATACTTTAAAAACATTTAATTAATTTTTTTAGTATTTCAAAATATTTTTTACATTAATACATTAACTCTCTTATTTTTATAATTTTATTTTTAATATTTTCTTAAATTTATCATATTGTATATTTATATTTATGTGCGTGAGAGGGATGTAAAATTCATGTCATTTTTTTTGTTTTTTGCCGGCTCATGTTCTTTTTTATTATTATGCATTTAAATATTATTTTTAATTATATTATTCAAACAAATTTTAATATGTAAAATTGACTTTTTATATAAGGATATTTAAATATAAATTATATTATATTACAATAACTAACTTTTAACGTAATTTTAATTTACAAATCATAATTTATATCCTCCTCTTAAAAATATAAGATATTTTTAATTAAATATTATCTCAATAAAATAATTATTTATTTTTAAACTAACATTATTTTTTTATATTTATTTATATTAAATAATTTATAATATTTATTATTTTTAAAAAAAATAATGTTTATATTTTAAAAAATTTAAAATATTTTATATTTTTAAATAGAGAGGGTAAATATAATTTTGCAAACAGTAATTTAAACAAGCGATTGGTACGGGGAAATGTCGGTGGCCTCAGGCGCCTTGCTTTCCGAGAGATTTTTTACCTCTTCTCGCAAACGCAGAACAGAACCGCCTGAATATGTCGTCACCCTTCTTCCACGTGAACGATTTATTTCTCCAATATCTCATCTCATCAGGCTTCCGGTTATGGCTGGAAATAGTCTCGCCTTTTGAAAGGAAGATTTCCAATGCTCCTTCAATTTGTAATACCTCCCTAACATCTTTGGAAATCGCAATCGTTCTCTTTGCATTGTTAACAGGGCTCGGATTTGGTTCCTTTTTCAATTTCCTCGTTGCAATTAAACATAGTCGGCCTCATGAGCCATTTTATCATGAAAACCTCCCGTAGGATTCTCCTTCATTACCGGAATTTATCTTCTTTCGGTTTCCTACCGTCAAAGATGCACCACGCCGCGACCAGCAATTCGTCGAAAGTTCTTATCAATTTGGATCGCTGCAGTGACTACCCCTTTCGAATGATTAATTATAACCAGAAAGCTTCTTGCTTGCATTTTTTAAATTCTGGCCATTCGAGGGCAATTTTAGGGTTCTTCAATTTAAGTGCATCCGAGGTTCGCGGTTTCTCAACTTCAACTAAAACCTGTGTGAGTGAAAATAATTTTGAGAGGATTTATGTCCAGGGAGGTATAAATGTGAAACCATTAGTGGTGGAAAGAATAGATAGAGAGGAGAATATTTTAGAAGATCAAGAATCTAGGTTAAAAGTTGGTAGTGAAGATGAGATCATAGAGAAGCCAGGAGGTTTAAATGTACCTAAGGATGTGAGTTCGAAGACTACAGTGGAGGAAACAGATGCCGAAAAAGAGGCATGGAAATTATTGCAGGATGCAGTTGTGACATATTGTGGCAATCCCGTGGGGACGGTGGCAGCGACTGACTCTGGTGACAAGCAACCATTGAACTATGATCAGGTCTTTCTTCGGGACTTCATTCCTTCTGCACTTGCTTTTTTGCTTCGGGGAGAAAAAGAGATTGTCAAGAACTTTCTCCTTCACACCTTGCAATTGCAGGTAATTTAGCCTAGTGAATAGCGATGTCACATAGTAAATTAATTGAAATTAATTGTTTGATAATCATTCGTTTGTTACTGGTTACTGTTCATGCCTTTACGTCGCATATGATTTTTATGAGCTTCTTACTTTTGAGTTATTACATTTTGAATCCATCATAATTATTTAATATAGAAGAATATTTTATGCTTGATTTGTTTAAATTGTTATTGTTAGTTTATTTAATAATTAGTGACACTTTCTGGGGTTTATTTCATTTTTTGTAATTAATAAGTATACCTATAATAATTTATCTAGCCAAATAGACAATAGCCAAATAGACGAAGTGTTTCTTTGTATTGTTATTATATATTTATTATTACATCACATTTCAAATAGTTGTCCAATTTGTCAATGTTTTTCAATAAATGGATGCGTGGGCATACACAAAAAAATAAAATTCGAAATAAGTATGTATAAGAAAAAGTGAATGTGGCATCTATTGAAAGAATAATGATAAAAATCATTTGAGATAGTTTGGACATATATAGAGAAGGCTGTGGAAGGGACTGGTGAGAAGGGTGGAACAGATAATTTTGAGCCTTGTAAAGAGGGGTAGAACAAGATAAAAAAAACACTTATGAGAGTTATTGAATGAAATTTTAGTTAACAATATTCTTGAAAGCTTGGTTGATAATGGAATACAATGGAGTTGTGCAATCTATGTAACTGACCCCATCTAGTATAATAAAGCTTGTTGCTGCTGCTGCTGCTGCTGCTGCTGCTGCTGTTATTGTTTCCAATCCTGATGTATTTTGTTGTCTAATATATCGTAGTTGACGATTTTTCACCCATTTATTTTTATCAGAGTTGGGAGAAAACCGTGGATTGTTATAGTCCTGGGCAGGGCTTGATGCCTGCTAGTTTCAAAGTTAGAACCGTGCCTCTTGATGAAGAGAAGTATGAAGAAGTTTTAGATCCTGATTTTGGGGAATCAGCTATTGGTCGTGTTGCTCCTGTAGATTCAGGTTAGTATTTTGTGGCTTCTTGAATATTGAGTATCGAATGAAAGAATGATCTACAAAAATTGCTAATGCATTGTGAAGAATGTCCGTTCTCAAGAATATTATTTGACAATATCATATAGTGAGTTGCATCTATTATTTCTATGGTGGTTCTTGACAGGGTTGTGGTGGATCATCTTGTTGCGGGCTTATGGGAAACTCACTGGTGACTACAGTTTGCAAGAAAGGGTCGATGTTCAAACAGGCTTGAAAATGATCCTTAACTTGTGTTTGACTGATGGTTTTGATATGTTTCCTTCTCTGTTAGTCACAGATGGTTCTTGCATGATAGACAGGAGAATGGGCATTCATGGCCACCCGCTTGAGATTCAAGTGAGTGGTACTTAGCTATGTTTTGGTTCCATGGCTGGAAAAAATTAAAAGGAAAAGAAAAGGATATGTTTTGGTTCTTCTGGGTTTGTGCATTAGGTGCTGTATGAATTTAAAAAGCTGATGTATCTTTATTTTGTTTTACTTATAATATGATGGGGTGCCGGTGATGCATTATGTTGATCGGTTGCTCTTGGCCTAGTCTCCAGGCCTATATGCTTTTTTGACTTTTTAATTCCTGATGTTATTTGACTTCTATAGATTATCAAGTAGAAACAATTTATCTTTTGTCATTGGGTTTAAGTGGTATGGTTTCTGAATTGTTCCTCCATTGTTTTACTTATTATTCATTGTCTTTTCATTTGTTATATGGTTTTTACTTTTAGGCACTATTCTACTCGGCACTTCGCTGCTCCCGTGAGATGCTTGCCATAGATGATGGATCCAAGAATTTGGTGAGGGCTATTAACAATAGACTAAGTGCCCTGTCATTCCACATTAGAGAATACTATTGGGTGGATATGAAAAAGGTGAATGAGATATACAGGTATAAAACAGAAGAATACTCCATGGATGCCATTAACAAGTTCAATATATATCCAGATCAAATTCCTTCATGGCTAATGGATTGGATTCCAGAGGCAGGCGGGTATTTGATTGGCAACCTGCAGCCAGCTCACATGGATTTCAGGTTTTTTATGCTTGGCAATCTATGGTCTATTGTGTCTTCTTTGGGTACCCCAAAACAAAATGAGTCTATTTTAAATCTGATAGAAATGAAATGGGATGATCTTGTGGGGCATATGCCTCTTAAGATATGTTATCCTGCCTTGGAGTCTGAAGAATGGCGCATAACAACTGGCAGTGACCCAAAAAACACGTGAGTTCTTTCTCATCTATTGTTTGCTGCTTCATGACGTATCTATCTTCTTGTTATGCTTAGAATTGCTCATATGTCATGGGTCTTAACTGAAACTCTTGCTCAAATTGCGCAGGCCTTGGTCATATCACAATGGTGGATCTTGGCCAACATTGCTTTGGCAGGTGACGTTTTCCTAATTTTATAGTGTACTGCTAGGTCCATTTTGTGCTTTGTGGTATGTCTTGATGGTCCGGACTAGTGAGCGAGTAATTGCCTCCAGTCCTTGACACTGACCTTAGAGCATTAGATATATGGAGTGGCTTTGACCAGTCGCATTTTTTTACTTCCCTCTTTCCGTCCTGGATGTATTACCTGGGATGGTGAATGGTCATAAGCTAGTTTATTTGTTGAAATGACGTTTCACCCTTCCCTCCAGGTCGTACTACTCAGTTTTCTATGTTGAAAAAATTCTTGTGTTGTTATGACATTGAACAAAGGAGAGGAAAGAAAAAGGAGAGTGTTCTTACAGGTTGTCGACTATGAGGGAGAATATCTCTGCATTTAAATAGTTCGTCATAAAATGTTGGATAAAATATCTGATTTCCACCCTTTTCAAGTTTCAGTTCACGCTGGCATGCATCAAGATGGGGAGGGTAAAACTGGCTCAGAAAGCGGTTGCTTTGGCTGAAAAAAGACTGCCACGAGATTCTTGGCCTGAATATTATGACACCCGTACTGGAAAATTTATCGGAAAACAAGCACGGCTTTATCAAACATGGACAATAGCTGGGTTCCTTTCATCCAAAGTGCTCTTGAGGAATCCTGAAATGGCATGCTTACTATTCTGGGAGGAGGACTACGAAATTCTTGAGCTATGTGCTTGTGCACTTAACAAGAGTGGCAGAAAAAAATGCTCCCGTGTTGCTGCCAAGTCTCAGATTATGGTGTGATTAGGCTTTGCATTTTTTAACTGTGAAGGAAGAATGCCTCGTGTACACTAACAAAGTCAAGGGTATACCAATAGTTTATACGACACAGTGCAAATTGAATTTTGAAATTAGCCATTTATTATACCTTGCTGTAATTGCGTTTATGAAAGTTTTCTTTTTAGTAGGTGAGGGGTTTTTCCTTATTTGTATGTAAATTAACTCATGTTTATATAAGTTATTCTCATTGTTTACCTCGATAGTTTTAACTTCGCTCTTCCCTGTGTCTAATAGTTTACCTTCCCATCATTGACATTGCAATGAGATTATTAGGACATTTTTTTTATTTTATAGTCAACGTTAATCTTATAGTATAGGATGCACTAGTGCAAATATGATGGAAGATGATGTTAATGTTGGGCGTAACTATCAGAATCATGTGCGAAGGTGATATTGTTGCTCATCGATTATTATTACAGCTCTAAAACTTGAAATGTTGATGTGTAAAACACAAGCCTTCAATTTAACAAACTTTCACAAGAGTCCTCTTCTTCTCTTGTAGTCACTGATGGTTAATGTTAAAATATGTTTGCTCGTGTCGTTCTCCCAGACTTGGCACCCAACTGTAGCTTCGACATTTTGTTTCCTTGCCAAGAATCCTTTCTTCAATCCCTGTGGTCCTCCAAATTTCTGAAGCTCAGCCAATGAAATGGGTATCTTAAAATCATGCAACATGTTTGTTTCTGTTCCATGACCCACCGGAGCAGTTGTATCAATTAGCTTCCCTGCATCAGCGGCTGCTTGCAATGCTGTCTTTGTGGCTTCAGCACCAACCTTCATTGTCATGCCTGCTTCCTTTTCTTCTCTCATTTCCTTGTTGCTATCACCCCTAGTGGTTTCATCCTTTTGTTCTCCACTTTCTTTAGCTTTATTACTCTCCCCATGATTTGCAGCGTAGCAATTCCTTGACCTTGTCCATCTCCTGGAAAAGGGATCATGCCCATCCTCCCCTGCTTTCAGATTTCCAACCACTCGTTTAAGTTTGGACAAATTTTTGAAATTCTCGACCTTATTCTTCTTGTTCATCTCGGCCAACCTTTTGGCCTTGGTATTGTTGTCTCGAGCTTGCTGAGATGCTTCTAGGTCCTGCAACCTTGTGTAGATCCTATCCACCTCTTTCTCATTATGGTTACTTTTTGCTATTTCTAACTGATTCTTCAAACGGTCCTTCTCCACTGTAATGTTTAAAGGCTTGGTCTTTTTTTCCTCTAGCATCTACTTCACGGTGGCTGCTGAATATATGTATGTGTTGGTTTTCCTAATAGCCTCCCTCTTCCCCGCTACATCTTATTTGCTTGGCATCTAGCTGCAAGTTCTCTCCATTTCCCTAACCCACTGTTTGTACTCTTTTTCTAATGGTGTTGAATCTGATACCACTGACATCTGAAACCTAGTTGCTGAGTTCTCGCTCCCCCATACACAAATCAAACGCTTATGGGTCACTTTATTCTCTATCTTGTACTGTCGATCAGGGCTACTCGCATCAACCCTCTGGACCATACAGAGCCTGTACACAGGTCCATGGTCTGATTTTCCAATCCCAACCCTCACAAAACTGCCCACGACTAACTCATTAAAGAATGGCTCATTCAACCACTTCATAAGTTTTGACCTCTTTAAGGTAATCTCATGAATGTCGTCAAATATTGGAACCTCTGATTCTGTCATATTTCTATCATCATCACTGTCCGCGAGACCATTGTGGCTTAACGATTCTCGATCACTGTCAGACCTTATTATACTCTCACTCTGACAGGAGCTACTCAAACTTGCTTTAACTCCAGGTTTTTGCTTGCCCGATGAAAGTTCTTGGCTAGTTGAGGTTGTTCTCAAAGCTTTTAATTTGCTCGCTTTTCTTTGAGTGTCCATGTTATGTTGCTTCATATGTTTGGCTCTCAATTCACTCAGAGCATCTCCTTTGGAGGCTATCCTCTCAGCATATCTAGCAGAAGAACGTACCTTGGCAGAGGATGGAAGAGAGAATGGAGTTTTTGATTTTCTTGATGATTGGTTGCTCTTTGCATTGTCTATCTTTTTCAATCTCATATGCTCTTTGAATTCCTTCTCTCCTTTCTTTGTCGATCGATCGGACAAAATCATCTCTCTTTCAAGCTCAGTCATTTTGGCGAGCCTCTGCTTGTCATCTTCATTCTTGTAGAGATCGCTGCCAATGTCAGATTCATCGCTGGAATCTACATCATCACGAGCAGAAGCGTCTCTGTCATCATTATCATGATCAATTTGATGGGAAGGTCTTTTGGTGGGGTGGTCTAATCTCTTCTTTAAGGGGACATGGGATTGAGATCTTGATGGCTTTCTGGTGAAAGCATGAGCATCATCTCCAGAGTATTCATCTCCAGATTCACTTTCACCATCAGAATATGAACCCTCACATTTAAACCTTGATTTTGGAAGCACGTGCCGTTTTTTAACAAGAGAACTGGTCCTTCCAGCTGCCTCGAGCAGTATGTTTTCCAAGTCTTCCATTTTCTTGACCGTATAATAATCCCCTGTTATTTTTTGGCAAATAAAGAATGTTTGCAGAATCAATATATAAAGGAAGTGTGTCTATATGTGTGTGGATAGGTTTCAAACCCAAATCTCCCTTGCTAGTGTTTAGAGAAATATATGTTGGAAAAAACAGCTTTCTGCATGAAACATAAATTTCTTGAAGGTAAATTGTTGGATGGAGTAGGGACAATCTCGTTACATATTTTACTATCAGAACAGAAGAAGAAAGGCTTATGAAAGAAGGTAAAGCAGACAAAATGGAGGCAGATGAAGGGGAATACCAAAGTAGAAATGGCAGGGAGCAACGAAGTGCACGTCACAAGCAAAAACAGAGCAAGAGAAAGAGGACAGTGAGCAGAAATTACGAGGCAAAAAAGTGAGAGCGAGATTTGCTCTTAATCCATAGAGCAGAGGAATATAGTTCAGTTCGTCGCTAAAATCCGAGGATAACTCCATATTTATTGCACTCTTAGCTCTTTCAAATCCATATTTTGTGCATGCACTTTGACTCCTTCATTCTCCCAATGCTCCATATTAGCCATTTTTTTCATTCTCCATTTTTTTTCTTTCTTTTTTTCCCCCTTTTTTGAAACAAAATTGATGAAATATTTCTTGCATTGTTTAAAATCCTTCGTAAATGCAATCACACACATGATTTGCGTTGACATTTGAAAAGGGACTTTTTTTATTACTTAAAAAGTATATTCTTATAGGACACAATTCTATTCGAGGTACGTTAATGTATTGAATATGAATACTTCTCTCAATAAAGATTTGAACCTTAATTGTACTTAGTCGTTACTCACATTAGACTCAACTTATCTAGCATTTTCTATGTGATTACTCTCAACTTATGAATGATTAAATGGGAGCCATTAGTAACAATGTTAATAACTATAAATAATAATTTCATCGGTTGTTCCATATTAATTCAACACTCCTTCCCATTTAACATATAGTAAGCATTTTCTCCTACCCAATCTTGATTTAAAATATAAATAATTTAATGTTTATAAATTTTTTTTCTATTTTATCCCATGCATTTATTAACATACAATTGTGTGATTATGAATTTATAACATTCTTCTTGCTTATAATAAATTGAAATTAAAAATAAAAAAGAAAAATAATATATATTTTTATGAAATAAGCATTCTATTAGTATATGGATTATTGTTAAAAAATACTTATATTTTAAACCAAAAGGTATATATTTTACTTATTTGCAATTAAAATAATTTAAAAAGTCAAAATAAACTAAACATATCACTCCATTGATGTTTATATTTTATCTTTTAACTATGCAACATCTTTTATAGGAATAAGTTGGGCAGAAGTTTAAACATCCCAAAGTTAGTTATAGAGAGTGAATTGCTTTTTTTTTCTTTCGGGCACAACAAAAGCCAATTTTATTGATTACCAAAAAAAAATGGAAACACACACTAATAGAAAAAACAGGAAAAAAAGCTTAGAATACAAACTACCAAAAGCAATAAACCCTAAGATACAATCCACAAAAGCAATCAAGTAGGAAAAAAAAAACTAGAGATAAACAAGAAAGCAAGCTCCAACTAGTAGGCCTCAACCAATCCCTTTAATAACCAAGCCTCACCCACAAAGCTTCAAAAAATATGAGCCCACCTAGAATTAGCCAAAAGAAACCGAAGCAATGGAGATGGAGCTTCAAGAAGCCATCTGTTACGATACATCCCCAAAAAACCTTTAGCCATTGCAGTAATTTCCCTTAGTGACAAACCAAAGAGAAGGAGACAAAAGGCTTAGATTTTGGGATTCGAAAAATATCATGAAATAAAGTCCAAAGAGATGATACTGAAAAGTACCTCACAATCAATCTCTATTAAAACAGCCATGCCTTGACCTGTCACAAAATAAAAGAGCCTCCTATGAATCCAAACATTTAGCTATAAAAGTAGAGTTCACCAAAACTAAAGTTGAAAATAAAGGCTGGGCCTACAGGCCTTATTTAAATAAGGGTTTGGGTTTGAAAAATTAAATATTTTTACGGTAATTGAGCTTGTGGGCTCAGCCCTGACAAGTCCTAAAAAATGAGTTCGAGCCCGGGTGACCATCCAAGCCCTGTTATCTTTTTTTTTTGCAATTTATGTAAAAATGGTGCATAGAGAAAAAACATAAGTCTTAAACTTCTCTAATTTCTTATTTCTCAATTCCTACTCTCTCAACCTTCTTTGTTTGATTAAAACTCTCACTCTTTTAGCTTAAAGATTTCATAGTCACTCATATACTCTCCCGTCAGCCATCGCTTATCTCTGCCTCAATCGATATCTCTTCTCTCTTGTTGGCCGTCAATTATCCCTGCCTCGTCTCTGGTCGTTGCCTCACTCAGAGTCACTCAGCTTTCCTTCCCACATCTGCTTGCCTTGTTGCCCTTCATGTCTATCGCATTTGCTCTCCCTCACGCCTCTCATGATCTGCTTTCCACTCGCGGCTGTTGTCTTTCCATGGTGATACTTTAATCTTTGTTTGTCTTAGATGAGTGCTCTGATTCTCATAAAGTTTAACCAAAGTAATTATTTTTTTAGCCAATTAGAGTAATTACCTTAGTTTATTTGATGTTTAATTTGAAAACATTCTAATTAAATTATAATATTAATTTTTTATTTTTTTTATAATTAGGTTTATAAGCCTGGCTTTAAGCTCTTTACATAAGGGCTGGGCACCAGGATTTAGAGGAATTTTGAAAAATCAAGCTTCGGGGCTTGACCTTTAACCATAATGGCCAAGCCTGCCTGTCTCCCAACTCTAAGTAGAACCTTTTTGGAAACTATAATATCATCTAATTAACTCTAATATATTTAATCATAAAATCACACATTACCATGGTAATTAAGGAATAATAACCCTAATTACCTTGTGATGGTAAAAAGGAATTAACTGCAGTTAAAAGAAGCTAATCATAGTAAGAAAAAGAAAAAGACCAAGGTTAAAGGTCTACTATTATTAATAGAATTGAACTTATAATTCGTAATTTAAAATATGTAGTAATTAAATAGACCTTACTATAATAAAAAAGATTCTACTATGGTAGAAAGGATTAAAACCTAAATATTAGGTACTAGTACGTTATAAAAGATTTAAGCCTATTAATAATCAAGCAAAATTTTGCAAGTCATTAGGATCCCAAGCTGAATAAACAATTCAAATCATTTCAGATTGAAACGTTGAGCTATAATATCAAATAGGGCTCCGTCCATGTGACTAAATTACCCAAGCTCACGAATTGTGAAGTGTGACCCAGCTAAAGATCATCGAACTTACTCTCAAACCATAGCTTTATGCACTCTTAAATCTCTTGAGTGTCATCTACTCTAGGCTAACCTCCTCGATAAACTGGTGGAGATAGATAGGTTCTAATCTGTTGACAAACTATAAGACAGTCCCTCAACGGCAACTATGGGACAAGGTTATAGTCTTATGCACTAAAAGACAGCTAACAATATTATATGGATTTTAATTACTCCCTTCTTTAGGTGAACTCTTGCCAACTAATCATGCTATGTATGATGTTCACTCATTTTTACAATTTCTTTTATTCATTATTAATACATTAGACTCATAATAATACACTACCCAAGTGAACATCCATATTATTTTCACAAACATATTTCACTTTATCAAATCATCAATTTCTCCATCAATACACAATTTATCACTTCACATAATATCACCCTTCTCATTTGAAAGCCAGCACATATTTATAGTTTTGAAAATCACTTTGATATCAATTATACATTTCTAATTCAAATATAACATTGCATATTCACAGTTCAGCCAATCATCAAGGCTCATGACATGCTTCACGTTTACAATCAAATCATACATGTCAATATGTACATTTTCATAATAAGTATTCAATTAACAAACAACTATTCAAGATAGAGTTCTCTAGTTACGTCAAACTTTTAAGAGGTTAAAGATTTATCCTTCAATAATTAGTTTTCAAGCTTGTTTTCTCAAGCCAACATAGTGCTCAAACGGTTAATCTACAGTTAATTAAATATAAACTCATCAATATTATCAAAAACACAGGTTCTCTCTCACATTTTCACTTCCAAAATATCCAACACCCTTATGTCCCACTTTTAGGCTTACTCATTGGGTATAATAACTCTCCTAACCCTCATATACCATCAATGAGTCATTAAACCTCCATTAATGGCATTACAACTCCTCAACAACCCTTATTAGTGCTAATTTCAGATGTTTATAGCATCTACCAACCAACCAACAACTATTAAAACCATTAGTATTAAGTTTAAATACTCTAAACAACTTTCATTAACTCTATTTGAGTCAATGGGTTTAGACTCATAACTAATATGAACTGAAAATTATCATCCCAACTCAAACCCTAACTCTAATCCCCATTAAAATGAAAGAGAAAAGGAGGACAGGAGTATAGGATACTTATCTTAAGTGATTACTAGCTCCAAAATACTCTTAAACTGCCAACATGGCAAACCCTAGCAGAGACTTGTAGCTTGCTCTTCGTTTCTCCCTTTTTCTCCTTTTAATTTTCTGTCCATTCATGAGGTTGTGCATCAAAAATTTTAACCATGCGCCACGGCGCATGGCACAGAGAAGTCTTTCTATCCCTTTGTTATCTATGCGCCACAGTGGACATGTTGCATGCAGCAACATGCGGCACACATACAATCCTTCATTTTTTTTCTCCTTCTTTTGATGCTCGAGTTACCCGACTTCACCTTAAACCTATAATTAAGGCTAAAATCACAATTGAATACATGTATTAGACTTCTTTGGCCACACATCACATCAATTCACTCAAGTATCATAATTAAACTTGATTAATTCTTTAGTAGTCGAAGGATTAAAATTTTGGAATGTTACAACCAGTGCCATTAATTAACTTAATAGCTACTTGTGGGTGTTTAAATTACTTTAATTAGACATCAAACAGAGAAATAGTGCACGTAGAAAATTCACCCTAGCATGCTATCATGACATCAGAATGCTATCATGATATGCTTTTTATCACATGTTGAGCTTGACTAGATGTAATAGTAGCTTAAAAGGGTTTTATTGGGATCCTAAGCATTAGAAATGTTTCAAAATGTAATAGTAACTTAACCTTTTCTATCATAGTAACTAACAAGGGACTAGTACATTCTTAATTACCATGATAAGGTGTTTATGTATGGTTCGTTCTGATAATGTCAGAGTGGACATTTCAAAAGTTGCTGGAAAATCTAAAAAGAACAGGAAGGTCTACTAAAAGGACTCAAAGGTACTTGGTGCAAAGCAAAATGGTACCCAGACTTGACTGAGTAAATACCATTCCTTGTAGGTTGCCAAACCAGTTTATTTGAACAATGTTGCTGAGGTAAGTAAATTTGTTTAATAGCATCACTCTCAATATGAGAAATACACATACTAATTGAGATAGTTCCCACCTACCACCTTTAATAAGCTTAGCTACCTTCATACTCTTATTAGCTTTAATCAAATTTAAGCCACGCAATCAACCAGACTTTAAACCAAGCACCCACCTATCATACCAAATCTTTGCATCCAGGCCATCCCCTATCCTCCATATGGCACCCTTTGGCAACAAATCACGCCCATCAAAGATACTAGACCATCCCCAAGAAGCTTTGCTCCCTTTTACTATCCCCAAAATAGAACAATTAGGGAAATATTCCTCTTTCAGAACCTGATACCAAAGCTCCTTTGGTCTTTGTATCATCCTCCAAATCATTTAAGCTAGCAAAGCCTTGTTAAAACACTGAAATTTTCTAGAAGCCATACGACCTTCCCACTTCGAATGAGTAAGCCCTTCCCACCTCTTTTAATGAATCTTGTTGCCATCGTGAGCATTTTGTTCCCGCCAAAAATCAGAAAACAATCTACCCAAGATCCTGGCAAGTTTTCTTAGGAAAAGCAAACATGCCATAGGGTAAATAAGAATGAAGTTGACAACTGATTTAATCAACAACTCTGCCAGCAAAGGAAAGCAATTTCTTCTTCCACCCTATGAGCCTCTTCTTCACTTTATCACAGAAAAACTCGAGCAGACCACCTCAAACGCCCCTACAACACAGGTAGTCCAAGATACTTCCCAGGTTGAGAAGTATCTTTAATCTCCAAAACCTCTGTAATCTCACTCCTTACCTCGTCTGATGCAATAGCTGAGGAGGAAAAAATACTTGATTCATCAAGATTCATTTCTTGACCTCATGCTGCATCCAAAATTCTTCCCAAAACGCAACGGTTATCCTTTTCAGCCTTAACAAAAAATTAATACATCATCGGCTAAGGAAAAAAGGAAAATAGAGTGACTTGATTGTTGCTGTCACGAGTTTGCTGACACTGGGAGACGCAGGAGATTCTCCTCTGAAGCAAATTAGAACGGTCCCGATATTGGCATATTCAATCCATTTTAATTTTCCCAATTTATAGAGTCTATTGATATAAGAATTGGAACCAACTGCTATTAAATAGAAAGTGACAAAAGATTGTCATTATAAAATGTAAAAATTATTAAGATTATATCATTTATAACCATGAACAATATAACTCACTTTAAATCAGACAACTCTACAGTAAAGTTAATGTTAAACCTATTTCTTTTAATTAGTTTGAAGATTAATAACATGACTATAATTTGATTAGTGATAATATATTCTAAATTTCAGATTTTCTCTTAGGTGTTTGGTGTGGGAGACAAAAACAAGGCAGGCTGACATTTTAGATTCCAAAACATTAAATTAATGATAGCGAGATCTTAGATATATTTAAAAAAAATAAGTTATAATTATCAAACTAGATAGATGCAATTTACATTTGAAACTTTTACATCTTATATGCAATTAAAATTTTTGGCTATACATTTATTTAAATCAATATTTGTAACTTTTTTTTTTACAAAATTATCATTTTTAGTAATATAATTGTCATTAATTTTAAAATTTGAAACGTAATTATCATTATAAAAAAAAAGGTTTTGGTGGGACCTGTTGTCACCTTGGTATGTGGTGCCCACCCGTCCATGTGTTTTTCATATTTCATGTTGAGTAACATTGATATTAATTGACAATAGATTGATAATGATGTCGATTTTTTATGCCAGAATAATTATAGTGATTTGAATGTTTTTAAGATTAAAATATCTATAAATTTTAGATTAAAAAAACTAAATACTTAAACTTTTATAGTTAATTTTGCATTATCAAAACAGAATAGATGAATCTTTTTTTTTTTAGAAAGATCAAATTTTATTAAAACACAAGTGAAACGATTAAAAATACAAAGACCTACAAAATAAAAATTAAATTTTACAAACACAAAAATAACTTATTTAAAAGTAAGTTAATAATAAAAATTAGTCATAAAATAAATAATGTAAAAAAAAGTCAACTTATCATGATTTTTGAATAACATACATAAGCACGATAGATTGTGGGATTAACAATTCAGCTGTGGGCTAGCAAAAACGGAAAATATTGAACAGACATCAACTATGAAATCTGGAAACTCGATATTCAGTATCTCGCAAGTCTAATGAGATTCAAAACTTTTAATTAATTTTTAATATTAATTTATCTTTTCTTTTTTTTTTAAAAAAAAAGGAATTTACAATCTCATTTATCCAATTGTTTTAAATCGGCAAAAGCGTAAAACCTTCCATCTCCTGCCCTCCATTTCCCTCCAAGTCTCCAACAAAACAGGTGAAAGGGGTTGAACATGCCAACACAAAAATGGTCCTATAAAATGGTCCTATCGCATTCGCATACATTATTATTTTAGTTCGCTGGTAAAACGGCCAACTTGTATAAATTGCTGGCAATTAACAAAGACTCGGTAAAGTAATTATATGCTTGTTTGCTTCCAATATCTCCAGGCGAAGTTATGTAGATAACTAGAACTTTGAGAAGAAATACTGGGATTCGTGCAAACTCAGCAGCATGATTGGCCAAAAAAGGTAAGAAAGAAATATCACTAGGAATGGATGATTATTATTAAGGGTAAAAGCTAGCTAGCTTTAGAACAAAGAGCAATAGGGATTTATAAAAAAACAAAAACAGAGACGACATAATAATATTAATACAGATTCAGACCTCTTTGAATTCCACAGCGGCATCCACCTCTTGAACCGGCTTGGCTTCCTTATTCGCAGCGTCAGCACAGGCTTCCTCTTCCTCAATTACGAAAGCCGAAACTGGGAATGATCTGAATAGCCCTGCAGGTGTCTTGAAAGTGATCTTCCCCGTGGGCGGATCATCCACGCATATGTCGCTCAGCGACACCCAAATCAACAGCTCCTTGGTCTTCACGCCATTCAGTTTCTTGATCTTTCCAGGCTCCACGTAGGCCGTCACCAGAGGCTCATACGAAACAAGCTTCCCGATCTTCTCGAACTTGTGGGTGGAGCTCTTCTTCTGCTTGAGCCACACGAAGCCAGTCTCCCTCACGATCCCGCATTCCTCCATGTCTTTCAAGGGCAAAAGCCCATTGGGCAGCCCTACTTCCTTCAGCAATAGCTTGGACTTCTCTTGGCACATTTCATCTCCATGGTACATCTCTGCTTTCGCTCTGATCTCCTCTGTAATCTGAGACATTTTCCCGCGTAGAAAATCTGTGTACCTGCCTGGCTGCTGGAAATCGTGGGTGAAGGGGAGGGAGAGAGGAAGGATAATAAATAGTTGGGAAGAAGTGAAATTGCCCTCGAAGATGTCAGAAACTGGAAGAAATGAGACGTAGGGAGAGCGCGGGGACGGAGGTGACAGAGGGGCAAAATGGGGAAAATGACGGGCCAACGTGCTTTCAATTTTCAACGCTCAAGGTTGGGTTGAATGGGTTCACAAATTTATGGCACATTAATGGAGGAAGCGGTGGGTTGAAATGAGTGGCCAATGTAAAAGAGTCACGCGTTATGTAGTTGGGAGGGTTACCTATTTATTGGGATGATGAGCCTATAGGCAGCCACCTGCTACCTCAGACCTACACCTATACTGTCATACTCCTTCTCTACTCAACGTTTTCTACGTTCATCTAACGACCTTCTCTATTTAACGTTTGTTTAATTTTATTATACTATTCATTACTCTTTTTATATCTCAATATAAAATTCATTTAAAAATTTTACCTGATTCATATTATTAAATATTTTTATATTTATTTTTTTAAAATTCCTATTTTATTTGTTATTTTTTAAAAAAAAATCATGTAACAAAATTTTAATTATTATTATTAAAATTTTTATATAAGGTATTTAATAATAGTATAAATAAAAATATGTGAATTAAATTTTGAACCAATATTTTATAAACCTAAAAATTAATTAATCACCGTACAAATATTTTTTCTAGTTATACCTAAAACTAAAAAATTATGTGATCTCTATTTGATATCTTATCACAATAGGTAACTTTAAGCCTTTCCTCTCTCTTGCGAAGATAACCACCTACATTTCCCATAGTATGGCAATCATAGGTTTTCAATTTTTTTCTTTTTTTTGGTAGAAAGGTTTTCAATATTTTTAATCAAAACCAACCTGTGTAGCCATCCTTTTCAGAGAGTTTCCTGTCTTAATCTCCTTTTCAATTACGTAGATTCTGCCCGTAGGATGTACAAACTTCTCAACCTTTTTTGACGTCCGATTCGTACGCAATTATGTTTATTATTTTTGCAATTTTTTGCCAACATTACCTGGACGGGGTCAATGGGTGATCTAGAAACTTCTAGCGTGTTTGGTTGGATTACCTGCAAGGGAATTACACGTAATCCAGATATAATTTTCATATACAAACTGTTAGGTTATCATTTTACCTGTAAAGGCTATTGCATAATGTAATTTGAATTACATCATCTGTAGCAATGAGGATTACATTTAAAAAACCTATATAATCCCCATTCCCTCCTATAAATTTACTCAAATATCCCTCCCCCTCCTTTAATGTTAGAACTGTTAATTAGGATTGAGTCTATCGAACCAAATCTTTTAAATATGAAAAAATTTAGGATTAAGTCACTATTTCAGAATGCAAAATGATAATTTGGATTCAAGCCCTATAATAAAAGGACCGGCCCTTTTATAATTTTTAAAATTTTAATATTAAAAAATTAAATACTATACTAATTTTAAAACCCTAATCTTATTTCACATGGATCAAGAAAGAATATTTAAAAAATTTAATATCTTTGCCACTATTGAGGCGCTACAAAGAGAAGGATAGAATTATATTGATGTTGATAATAATAAAAATCATTAAAATTTTGCTGATAATACTAGCAAAATCTGATTATTATCGGTGTTGATTTTATAATATTATTATTTTTTATTAGACTTATATTTGTTATTATATGTAATGACTTAAATTTATTTTTATAGATTTAATGTTATGTGTAATAATTTTTTTTAGATTTTAAATGTAATATTTTTTTTGTCTTTTTTTTCTTACTTTTTAAAGTTAATTTGAGAATTTTAATTTAAAACAAAACAATGTTATCAATGATTTATAAAATGAACCAAGTTGTATTTTTAAAAAATAACTAATAGGCAAGAATGGAGGAGTAACACCTACATTTCTCATTTCATTATAATCATAGGCTTTCCATATTTTTAATCAAAACCAACCTGTGTAGCCATCCTTTTCAGAGTTTCCTGTCTTAATCACCTTTTCACTTACGTAGATTCCGCCCGTAGGATGCACAAACTGCTCAACTTTTTTCGACGTCCGATTCGTATGCAATTATGTTTATTATTTTTGCAATTTTTTTGCCAACATTTTTCACGCTCATTAGAAACTTCAATTCCTTTCCAGAATCACGTAGAATGAAGTAATATCGAGAAGTTAAAACATTAATCACCAGTGAAACAATAAGGCAAAAACACCCAAACACAAAAACAAGAGCGAGATAGGCATCATTATGCTTATACAGTTGCGAGGTAAAAAGATTATTCCAGCGATATTACAAGGAAAAGCGAAATTTTACGAGAGGCGCCTTTATAATCAAAGGATAATATTGCATCCGTGTCCAATATCTGTCATAACAAGGGATTCTCGATGGCCAAGTAAAAAACCAGGGACTCTCGCATTCTCGCTCAAACAGGTGTCGCTGCTGACTTTTCTTGTGCAGGGTTCAGATTACATATTTTTGGCTAACAATCCCTTACAACGACAAAATACGTGGGCAAGGATCTTGCTCAAAACAAGACCCACCGCTTTTTTTTGGGGGGGGGGGGCGGCAGGGGGCTATGACCCGCTAAGTAAGGAGTCATAATCAACGCAATAATCTCAAAAAAAAAACAAAAACAAAAACAAAAGTGGACCTCCAAGTTCCCCGGTACAAAAGAGCAGTGAACTTGCCGAGCCTCCAATTACCAAACATGGATGGTTACGGAGTAGTTTGTTCCCGCGCCCAGCTAGAAAGTTTCCCTTTCTTCAAGGATTCGCCGCCCTGGTTCTTTGTAATTGTAACATACTTATTTAACTCGGTGTAGATCCAATCTTTCTGTGGCTATCCATTCCCCATTCTACGGCAATTATTTACCAGGGATTCGATGTGATTGATTTCCTTAGGAATTGATGCTGTAAGGACCTGTGAGACAGTTCCAGTATCAGTTACTGCTCATAAAAGAGATAACACACAGCAGATTAACATACTTTACTCTTCATTCTACAGTCATAAAAGAGAAATTCAGATGCATATCAAGATCATTTCACGGACCACTTATTTGGACACTAGGCCTTATAAATAAGTTACAAGCTGCAATACAGAGAGAACAGAAAAATATAATAAATGATAAATTAAATAAATATCGCCTTATGTCAACAGCTAGTTAGAAGATTTGACTTCCATTTATTGTGAATGACAAAGCAATCCTGGTTCGTTATTCTAATGCTCAAAAGAACTGGGGTCACATCCCCTCTAGTTTTCCTAAATTTGATTCTCATTTCAATTTTTTTAAATAAACAAAATTGTGCAAAGAGATTACCTCATAACCTGTTTCCGTGATGAGAACCTCATCCTCAATTCTTATCCCAATGCCTCGATACCTGCACCGCACATTCTCCAGACATTGGCATGTGAAATCGGAAAACTTGATACCAAGACAAAATTTCTCAAGGAGCTTATGCTACAAATCATGTGAAGTTGGGGTTAACCACTGATGTTAGAGACACCAGTGACCACGTTATAAAACAAGCAAAATAGTGAAGGTGAGAACCAAAAGATGTATCGTATAACCAACAGGAGTTGGGCTTAGCAGAAGGGGCTCCCTCACAACATGATGAACCAAGGTTCAAATCCTCGCTAGGAGAGGTACCCACATTTAGTGACCAACCGTGCCTCGAATAGGATTGCCTCCAACAGGAGGAAACCTATGAGCAATTAAAAAAAGACATCGTATATTCATAGTAGCCCAAAGAGTACAATTGAAAAAGATTAACTTGAGAAAGAAGATTCTCAATTCTCAGGTACAAAATTCAAGATCCAGATGAAGTAGCACATTTCTTGGATTACGAACACAGTAAATCAGTAAAATTTTAAAGAATCAAGACAATGAACATGCTATGAAATTATTGCTTGCGACTCCGATTAATTGACTTTGGCCTCTCAGTAAACTGCCAGATTCCAAATAAGGAAGAACAATAAGGAAAATTTTTTAAAGCCGGTCATAAGAGGAGTAAGCACAGGACAGCACCAATTAACAAGAGACAGATAAACCGAAAGAATTTCAAAAGAAGAGAAACTCTCAAAGCTTCAGTACCAACCTCCCATGCATGAATTTGCATGTTTTGTATAGACAGATAAACCAAAAGAATTTCACAAGAGGAGTAAGTACAGGACCCCACCAACAAGTAATAATTTAAGTTTGAGCAAATTTTCTGAGATCAAGTACCTCTCTGGACCATCAAAATGAGATGGCATATATACTCCTGGTTCAATTGTTATGACCTGAACAAAATAATTATAAACAAGCTGTTCACTAATATGTGAATGAACGATATCAATCAGCATGGCTATAGCATGCAAGCAACAAAACTCCTACATGGTCGCCATGTTACTATATAAGGAAAGGGAAAAATTACCACTTTCAGCCAGGAAAACATCTTGTTTATACACATGACATGTGATCATGATCAGTTAATCACCAGTAATGCATCCCTGGGCGTAATTTTTCAAAACTCCCTTCAGTTTTATGTAATATGCTTTTAGACAACCTTGAGTATCAATTACTTCCAAACATAGTAGTTGGAAATATCTGTTACTCTTGGCACATTCAACACAACTCTAGGACTAAGGCAGGAATAAATCCATGGACATGTTATATAGAGTTCCAGTAGTTGAACTTATCTCAAATTAAGAGAAACTAAGGCAAGAAAATGGAGATCAACAGTGAGGGAGACAACTTACAACACCTGGCTTCAGAGGACAGTCATAGCTGATCCTTGAACAATCATGAATATCCATTCCTAAGTAGTGACCTGGACCAATAAAACATGAATATATGCATCCGGTCTGTATTTATCATTTCAAACTAACCTAGAAATTTGCAGAGCCGACGAATAATTCTTCTCAGGTTTGCAAGCAAAAAGATTAACCAAACTGTATTTCAAAGGATGCATAAAGAAACCTATAGAAGTAGGGTTCAGTATATGGTAGGCACTGCTTTGGGCACTTCTCAAAATTCCAATCTGCTTCAATCCTTTCTGGAGCATTTCAACCTAAGCAACCAAACCATTTCAAAAAATGTAATGAAGGTAAACAAGCTCCAAAGCTGAAGCAGTTAGTTGAATAAGCAGAATGATCAAGTGAAGCAAAAGCAAAGATGCCATTCAAAAACAGACAGGTTTAACAAAAGAGATACTCAAGTTACCAGCACACTACAATGACTGTTGCTGATTATGCAAAATAGTATGATGGGTCAAACGCTTATAAGATATCATAGCGGTCATCATGGATAGGGTAGGGTTGATTGCCTAACCAACATGGTGTAAAAAAATTGAAATCTTTTCTTTTGTTACATCAATTCAAAATACAAGGAAAAATGATATTGAAAATTGTTACAAATCTTTGCCTTGGTTAGTTCCAAGGCATCATGCCTGAGGACTGGTCCAAAGCCAACTGAGCTTCTAACCTACCTCCTTTTTGTTTTTTGGCCGGGGGGGGGGGGGGTATATTATAATGATTTTGGAATTTACTTTAGCACCTACCTTATATCTAAGCACACTATCAATATGCAGAAAAAATCACAAAACAGTTTTCTTTTCAATCCATTCATGAACTAGCAATTAACAGCGGCAATATAAAAAGGCGAAAAACATGGCTTCTAATTATAATGCCTAATGATTAAGAAAAAGGTGTAATAATGATGGTACCGAATGATCATGTATTTGCCGAATGCTAGCACCAGGTTTACAAAGTTCCACACAGTGCTTGTTTGTTTCCAATATAAGCTGATAAAGCTCTTCCTGAAACATATAAAAAGCCATGATATTGATCTGAAAAGTGACTTTAACCAGAAGACTTTGAGATAGAAGATGCTATGAAAATAGCTTAAAATTATAGCACGTTTTGCATTTGCGTGGGTGGCTTTCATCTCAAATTCACTGGGCGTGAATGAAGTACAAAGACTAGCATTCTCATACATAAAAATACTAGAATAGAATAAACAGAGGAAAAAAATCCCATGCAGTCAATCATCACCTATATGATATAGGTACAGGCTTTGTCCCCACTGGATCCATAAACAGAGAGGATGATTGGGAGTCTATTCCAAAGTGTAAATTCCATTTAGTGTGCAGGTGCATGAAACTAGCTTAAACCTGTAGCACGTTTTGCATGGGTAGCTTTCATCTCAAAATTCACAGGGCGCGAATGAAGTACAAAGACTAGCATTCTCATACATAAAATACTAGAATAGAATAAACAGAGAAAAAAAAATCCCATGCAGTCAATCATCACCTATATAATATAGGTACAGGCTTTGTCTCCACTGGATCCATAAACAGAGAGGATGATTGGGAGTCTAAGTGCAAATTTCCATTTCGTGTGCAGGTTCATGAACAAGATATATGGAGATTATCTTACCACTTGAATATATTTTCAAATTTTAGAAAGCTCTTATTGGTTGCATGACCTATTTCGCAAGTCTTTGTTTTTCCCCTGCTCGCATGGAGCTCCATATAAACTAACAACCCCGTCTAGTATGAAAGATTCAAACAAGTATAAGTATATTAAGTACAAAATCTATAGGTAAACTTAATCCATCTCATCAACTTGCTTTGAATAAATATGGGACCCATTCTTCACCAACAGGCCAACTGCCTACTCATAAAGCTTATTTCCTCAAAACCTGAAGCAGAGAACATACTCAACCAAGTGCAAGTGCCCAATTACCAAATCAATTTAAAGGTCTCCCCAAACTTCCCTATATTTTGCTCCAATAGCTTTAAATTGCTATCAAGAAAGAAGTAATATCAAATAGAAAAAGGTAACCACATGTTGTCCACCTACCCTCTCAACTTCTCAGCAACCTGTCCTAGTGTCATTATCTTATTGAAGACAGGTTGAATATCACGCTGATTCTCAAATGACTTCAAAATTTCACACCAGCATCAAGCTTAAAAAGTAGCAAAGTCTAGGCCTTGAGAAGAAAACTTAACATAGTATCATGCCATCACAAGAAGCTATAATGCCCTCGTAATGGCTAAACAACAGATAAACTTCTACTTAAAGATTGACAATCCATATAATTTAATCCTGTCTATCAGGGCTTTAATAGGCAATATTCATTCTGCTGGTCTCAAATTGATGCCAAAACAAAACCAAATAACTAATCAATGAAATGGTTATTAGGGAGGCAAAATGTGAAAAAATAGGGTTGCATAAATAACAAACCAAACTTTTCAAGAACTTCCTGAGATGATAAAGAAGATAAGATAAGCATTTATTTAATGCTGCAGCAATAATTAGAATTGATCAAAAATATTGATTATGCTAACCTTGGCAGAAGAAAAGCTACCACAAGGTGGCCAAGTACGGGTAAGATCACTGGTATACCCATGCAACTCACAACCAACATCCATCAAAACAAGATCTCCATCTTCAATCTGCCAGACATATGGTACGGATTCAAAACAAGAAAAATCTAAAACCAGGTGATCTCATTTAGAGAGTGACTGACCTTTTGATCATTCCTAGAATAATGTATAACACTTCCATTAGGCCCACCACCAACCACAGGATTGAACCTGGAAAGAAATCCGAGGAAAAAAGTCATGTAAAAACACAGGTCAAACATGAAAAATCGCAATTTATAGGTCATAATAAGATGCTTACGCCATTCGCTGAGCACCTCTCGTTTTGCATTCGTATTCAACCTTTGCAGCCAGCATACCTTCAAAAGGGTACATCTTCGAGTGCAACATTGTCAACAGAAGAGCCTACCCAAGACCAAAAGATATTAAGAATATCCCCTCAAATCTCCAGAAAGATTTACAAATCACTATTAGTTAATAGAATCCATAGTCTTATGAAGTGGTTGTCCATTGACATCCAAGAATCATCATGTTGCTTATTCTATATCATGAAAAAGTAGTTGTAGATATCACATTCATTGGCCACAGTTTAAAGTACCTGGCATGCAATTGATGCAGATTCCTTCATTAACTTGATCTCTGCAGGTGACTTTATCCACCTTAGTTGATGGGTATAAATAGATAGATCCTTTACATTGTTAGAAAATAATAACTTTTGGAAGGCTTCCAGATTCGTGTATGATGGAATCGCAGTCTGAACATTGTGAAACAATTTTGAGGATCCCCTTAACATATCTGGAAGAATCTGAGTCCATCACCTAAATATGTTAACAAAAATATATTTTTGAAGAATTAAAAATAACTGTTTGACCTAGGAGACAAAATATATCAAGAAACAGTAAATGGCCTTTCATGTTAACTACAAGCTAAATGGAGGGTGGCATATCACCTTCTTGTGCCTTAAATTTTAGGCATATAAGATATTCTTCCTAACTCATACCAAGATGTAGTGGAAGATAATCAAATTTCAATAGTGATAAGTGTGATACTTTGTAAATTGATATCAAAGAGATACTTGATACTTGTTAGCTATTTATATCAGTATAGAAAATTATGTTTAGCCAGCCAGCAAAATTGTGGAAACACTGAATGCAAGTTTACTTCAACTATGGAAACAATTCTGCGTACATGTCACACTAGATGGCTAGACAACATCTATCTAACATAAATTAATTGTATATTTTAAAATTTTAGTAGTCAACGACACGTATGACTTACCTCATGCAATTTTCTCATAGGATATGCCCTGTCAGCTTTGAATGTATCTAATGCTGCATCAACTCCAGCTATTTGCCCTTGCCAAATAACATCCTACATGTATTGATTTTAAAACCACGTTAGCTTCGAGATTAGGTGTTTCTTCATTCTATAATTGTAAAAGAAGTCACAAGAGGAAAGTCGCACAGGGTGTCACAGAGTTATTCAAAAATCACATATACTGTTCAAACCAGCCATTACAGATGCCCAAAGCCCCGTTTTATAGCATCATGGACCCTTCCTGACAGCTACTAACTGACATAGCAGGCCCTTATAACCAATCACCATAACTACCTAACTAAATATTACCATAATATCATAACATGGAAGATAACCACATGCATAATGGAATATCAGTATGCATTCTCATTTGATGAATAATTGAAGAGATTACGTAAATTTCTAAAGATGACATATTAGTAATTAGATAAAAAGATCATTAATTAAAAACAAGACAATCGAAAAAGGTTATATGCAATTTTTTAAAATATAATAAAACAATGTACATAATTAAATTGAGAAAAACTTGAAATTAAGCATAAAAAGTTATTGCACCACAGATTGCAATATGAATTATGAAGAGAGTTTTATAAAAGGTAACAGACACACATGAGGCTTAGCTTCAGGCATGAACATGCATAGACCACAGTCATGACCCAAAACTGCCACACCACCAGGTTGTTGGCAGCCTGTGATATATAAATAGTCAGCATCTTGCCGAAATGTATAAGGCACAACATCTGTCATCATCTTCACAGGGGCAGCTGAAATGATGGCCAAACTCTTCTCAGGGAGAAGTTGCAACAACTTTTTCCTCCTCAGGATGTATTCCTCTGTAGTTATGCCAGGTGTGATCTCTCCATCTTTCAGTAACTGCAAGGAAACACAGTGAAAGCAATGCTAGTTAATCTTAATTCTCAACAAATAAGTGAGCATCAGTATGTTAGTGTTTGTACACCTCAGGAAGATTTGTTTATGTATATATCACTTCGCAAAGAAAACATGAAAAGTACTACGTAATAGCACCTGTGGATGAGATGCATGGGTTGGCTGCCCAATATCAACAGCATTTGCAGTGCAGTACGAACGAGGACCAAGAACCTGAGAGCCAAACTTGTAAAATGCCAAGCAGTTATAGTTACTTAAATGAAACACCTACTTCTTCCACGATCTGATGGAGAAACAAAAGGAAACGACGTACAGACAAATACACCAACAGTAAAAGTATAAAAAATTGGAAAAAGAGACGAGTAAATTTGAAGAGGCTAAACCAAGCAGCTGAATGCCGCAAAGAACAAAATTAAATTTAACGAACTAACAGCATAGAAATGTCATCCAGAGCAGTAAGTATCTGAAAGCGCCAGTAATCTTCTGGAACTAACGAAATAAAACAACAGTTAAAATGGAAAGGAAAGAGGAAGAAAACAGTGTCGAAGTACCTGCTTCAATGAAACCCTCTTTGATAGCTTGCTTAGAGCTACGATGCACTGCATTTTGGACTCCCAATCACCGGCGCGAGGCCGGCCAGAGGTTTTAGGGGTTTAAAGATTCCGAGTTCCCTTCCCAAATTGAATTCAATATTTACTCAGTAAACCAATAGAAGAATCTCCCTCGTCCTCGACCCTTATTAACCGACTTTCTTTTTGGTTCCACTTTGTAATTTGTATTTCTAATTTAATTAATACAACCAACGCAGATTGATGTTCATTCTTAAAATTAAATGATACCAGCTTCCTAAATAATGGATGATGGAATAAGCAAATCGATAAAATTAAAAGTAATCAATCATATGAATATTTAAATGGCTACTGTCGTAAATAAGATTCGTAAGGCTCCTATTACATCTCTTGTAACTTTTTAATTTTTTCTGTACATTTTATTAGCCAAATTATTTCTTTAATATTTTTTATATTTTTACGCCATTGTAGGCTCTAATATTTTCAAGGTCATTATTAACAATAAAATTTTACCAAAATATATAAATAACAATCAAATTTTTTAAAATATTATAATTTCTCTAAATTCCTTAATTACCTTTCTATTGTTAATAATTTTAGGTTAAACAATTAAATTGTTCCTTTTTTAAAATAAAAAATGACAAATCTGGCTTCGTTTTTTCTTACAACTTTTGTTTAAGCAATTACAATTTTTGTTTTTTGAATTATAAAATTTGAATAATAAATCATAACTTTTTACGTGAAATTTCTTTTATGCTTGATAAACAAATTCTGAAAATAACATGTCTCAATCACAACTTTTGTTTAAATAATCATAACTTTAATTTTATAAATCACAAAAATTGAACAATAATTCGTAACTTTTCATGTGAAATTTCTTTTATTATTGAAATTTAAATTCTGAAAAGTAGCCAGTTAAAAAGGCCTAAATCGTATCAAACTTTTCAAATAAAAATTATAATACAAAAGACAATACACCTTAGGTCATTTTAAACTTATGGAAGCAAGCAATGACAATCAAGACCAATTCATGGACCATAACAAGTTAATGGTAGAGGAGAATTCAAGTAGGATTAAGAGTTTGGAATGTTTATAATTTTAGTTTGTTGATAAAGTGACAAAAGAAAAATGATAAACGTTCAACCAAACATTTAAAGTAGCTATCCAAAAAATGAATTCACCTACACTATCATAATTCTCCTAACTCAATTCAATTTGGCTCTTGCCCTTCATTGACATGTGTAAATGCCTAAATGACCTTTAAGACTGAGCACAGGTAATTAAATCAATTCACAAACACCTTAAGAACTTATGCCAATCCGGGACTTAACTCTTAAATTTAGCCCTACTCTTGCCTTGATCGTATTCGAGTACCTTAAACTAATCAATATCATGTAATTAACTTGAGTGCAGACCTAAACAGAAGTTAATTGTCATGGTTAAGCACAGCAAGAGATTGAAATAAAGTGAACTCATATATCAAAACTTTAAAGCATAAACACAAACACCTTAAGTGTACAACTAAGTCAAGAAACAAGTTCATGTCTTCTTCTCCTTTAAACAAGAAATTTGGTTAAGATGAGACAACTAAAACCAAGATTGAATAGTCAAGAACATAAATGAAAGAATCAAAGAAGGAAATGAGAAGAATCACATGACAAGCAAAATGAAAGGCAAAGTAAAAAAAAAACCTCAAGCGCGGGCTTCATCTTCTTAGAGAGTTTTGAGAAGATCTGGTTATTCATGGTGGTTCTTTTCATGAGAAGGGGAGAGTGGTGGCTAGAAGTGAAGAGAATGAGAGAAAATAGAGAGAGAATGAAATGAAGATAGACATGAAATTGTGAAGAAGTGCATGGAATATGTGAGTGAGTGGGTGATAAAAATAATGTGTTTGATGATGTGTCCACTTTGTAAATCACATTCAGCTCACTTGGTCAACATGTGATGGTGTGAAAAAAGTGAAAGGGAGTAGATCCTAGGTGATTAAAACCAAGGATAAATCTGAGCTTACTTAACAAACTTGGTTAGGGAGTCAAACAATGCATGTGACCGTTAATCAAGCTAGGTTAATTTGAGTGTACTTGTAATTCTTCTTAAAGGTCTTTATGCTTGATTAAAACTTACTAACATTTCTAAAATGATGATTTAATGGATGGTTGGTCAAAATCCTCGAGGTTTAGAGTCATTAAAATCTTTCAGGATCAATTATCGCACATATGCCACTTTAGGATTTTCTTGCTTTATAAGTTATCTTATAATTCAACATCTTGATCATTTAATCTTCATCCAAATTCTAATTTGCATCTGTAATTATACATACAACAATGATTAAAGCATGCATGCTGTAAAATTTCAAATTACAATTCAAAGTCAGGTTCAAAGATTATGAAACATAACAATCTATTATTAATGTTTTTGTCTTGGAACATCTGTGACTTATGTCTTTTGATGTCTTTTTATAGCATATAATGAATTTGAATCTTCCATTGACATTAGAAAGATAAAGACACAAACTAAGCCAATGTTCCGAAAATGTCCAGAAATTGTCAAAGTGACTAAAATACTCTCATGTTAAGAGTGAACCTTAATTGATTTTAGCTTAGAAATGTCTAGAAATGCCTAAGCATGCAAGAATTAAGTATGCGAGAATCCAATAATGCAAGAATATCATCCTAAAATATACACAAATAATGCAATACGTCACCAATCACAAAATTTATTTAAATAATCACAATTTTTATTAATTAAATTGTAAGAATTGAATAAAAAATTATAACTTTTCATATAAAATTTCTTTTATTATTGAAGTTTAAGTTCTAAAAATAATTAATTAAAACTTTTCTTTAAACAATTACAACTTTTATCCCGTCAGTTACAAGAATTGAACAAGAAACAACAACTTTTCACGCGACCTGGTTATTATTTTATTTAAAACAAGAGATAATTTAGTCATTTAATCTAAAATTATTAGTGCCAAAAAGATGCCTAAGAACTCCGACGAAGTTATGGCATTTCAAGAAATTTGACTATCATTTATATATTTCAGTGAACTGTCACTATCATTTTCTTGTTATTATTTTTAGGGAGAATTTCAAATGAGGATTAGGGATGTGACATAATTTTTAATGAGTCCTCAAAAATTTTCAAATTTCATTTCAATATAGGGGGATAAAAGTAAAAATAATTTTAACTATGAAAAAAACTAAAATACCTTTAACTTGTTATACAAAATTAGAGCTGGTAATTTAGGCCAAGCTCGACGGCTTGGCTTAAACCCACTAAAAAAAAAGGGTCGTGTTTGGCTATATAAGCTTTTTTAAAGGAGCTGGATATTTTAAACCCGACTCAAAGAAACTTGAACCTTGAAATTTTTGTCTCTACGTATATGTAAAGTAGGTAATTTTAACCAAGCCCGAACTCGGTCGGGCTTGGTTATATGACCTTTTTTAAAAGGATATGATACTCAGAGTCGATCTGAATAGGCCTAGCCCACCTGAATTACCGGCTCTATGCAGAATTACTAATTGTTAATTTTTTTTAATTCACTTGCTAATTTACTAATATCAATTAAAATTATATCTGTTTATTAGATAAACAGTAACATTAGTTGTTAGCTTTACTTATTAATTTACTAACATTAATTATAAATTACAAAATCTTTCAGTAATTTATAATTGATGTTAGTAAATTGACAAGTAAAGTTAGCAATTTAACAATAGATATTACTACTTATGATTGAACAAATGATATCAAGCTTTATATAATTATTAATATGTCAACTCATGTAATTTACAATTCATATTAGTAAATTATCAAGTAAAGTGAGAAAATTAATAATTAGTAATTTTGTATAACAAAAGAAAAGTATTTTGATACTTTCATAATTAAAATTATTTTCACTTTTATTCTCATGGATTGAATTGAAATTTTAAATTTTTTTGGAACCTACTAGTAATTATGTTACACCCTAGGTTTTTATTTGAAATTCTTCCTTATTTTAATGTCCTTATATTTTAAACCTCCCAAACATTAAATGGACGTAAAGGATGAAATTTATTTTACCAAATCATTTTGAGATAAGAATATGAGTCGAATTATATGGGTTAACTCAAATAATTGACCATTGAGGTGGGGTTGGATTAAGGGAAAAATGGCTCAAATAAAAAAGAGTTTATTTTGCCTTGGATTGCATAACTCATGAACTATATATATATATATATATATATGTATATATTAATTCTGATAAGTTAAGATTAGCCCATTTAACCCATATTACATTTAAAAAAATAAAAAAGGTAAAAAGAGAGAATTTTTGTGTGAATAAACCATACAAGGCATGATTTTTTTGGCTGGTTTAATTCATATACTTTATACCAATATTATGGATCAATATTTTGGTGTATTAAGAATGAAATATAAAGAAATATTAAATCAGAATCCATCTTTTAAATATATTTTTCAAAATATTCATGAAAAAAATAAATGGGTTAGTTAGTTAGTTTATTAAATTCATTAACTCTCAAGAGTTGAGTTAAAATATTTTCAACTAATATGAAAATAAATTGAATTCAATTTATTTTATATTTCACCCAACTCATATGAGGCTTGTTTGCATACCTTTTTAGAATCAATTATGGGTTCAAAATCATGATTTTAAAAATTTTTGTCTAAGCACCCAATTTTCCCAAACCCTATTTAATTTTCAAAACTTCATTTGAAATAAGTTATAATTTACTCCATTTTAAAAAATCAATTCTAACTATTGTTGACTTACTACTTTAAATGGCAGAATTGCTTACTCAAAATTAATTTTTTAAAAATTATCTAAATAGCCTTAGTTTTATAAAAAGCAATTTTTGAAAATTTATCTAATATCATCATCTTTTAATAATTAATTTTTTTGTTTTGTTTTTTCAATTGAAATCGTCAGCTACCCATATCCCTATTCCAGCATATCTTTCCTGAACCGTTAGATAGTGCAGACGGACTAGATCGCGCTCTTGAGACGCCGGACTCTGGAGAGACCAGACGCGCTGGACAGGAGCTGCTTTCATTTCTCACTTCACTTCAGGTCGGAGACGGCGGCGCACTTTCGTCTCGTGTTGGCTGGGATTGAGGTTGGAGCTGCCTGGAGTGATTGGTTGTTCAAAGGCTAAGCGAAGGTTTAAGACCGGAAGGTAACATGGCGTGGATGCAGCGAATCATCGGGACAAATCTGGTGGCAAAGTTAGCCCCTTCTGCACCTTTTTCCTCTAGATTCTTCTCCAATTCAACTCCATACATCGGTAAAGCCTCCTCCTTTTCCCTACCATCTCACCTCCGTATTTTATTTCATTCACCATTTGATATGCCCAAAACAAAAAATCAGACAATTTTGGTAATTGTAGAAGAGGCCCTGGGGATGCGTACATTTTAACTTCGTGATACTGGTCTATTCAAAATCTGATTTTTCCCCCCTTCCTTTCTTCTTCTTCTTCTTTTTTACCTCTCGCACCCCTAAGCGCCAGTCTGCCAAACTTTTGTGTAACAGGGGTTGAGTGTTTCGTTGTTTTCTCGTTGTTGAATTTCTTCGGGCCTAAACTGTCCTCAGCTATGGTCTATGGATCAGTTTTCTTGTTTAATAAGCGGCAGACCTATGGGTAGATAATAATCCTGTTTTGATGCTTGCTACTGCAGCAAAGGTTGGAATCCCCGAGTTTCTAAACGGAATAGGGAATGGAGTTGAATCCCATGTTGCTAAGCTTGAAACCGAAGTCGGTGACTTCCAGAAGCTTCTTGTCTGTCGCACCCTCAAGCTCAAGAAACTGGGCATTCCTTGCAAACATGTAATCCTAATCACATCTCTACTTGCCTTCTTCGCATGCAAATACAAGAACATTTTATCACTTGCAAACATACCTGCGTATATGCCATGCTATTCATGCATAATTGTCATGCGAGTGACTGATTTCTTGTGTCTTGAAGATGTTTCTTAAATTCTTGGGAATTTCTCTTAATACATTAGTTGCTGAACTTCCATCATTGTCTGTATCTTTTGTACAATTTTATGGATTTATCCTATGCTCTTGTTTCTGTTAGTCTAATTCTTTTCTTTTTTTTTTTTTTCCTTTTGGCCAGTGTCATTATTTAAATTTTAATATTTTTGTTTTCCCACCAAGTGCCACTTAAGCTGGACATTCAGCTTCTCATGAACTTGATCTGTTATGCTTTGCTCCTTTTGATTTGGAATTTGTCTTAGAATCTGTTAGTTTCAGGTTTTTAGCTTTTTTTTTGTTTTTGGGTGTAGAAGGGATGCTTACCCAATCTTTCCTAGCAAATATGCCAGCATTACCTTCTTAATCTCCCTTGAGGAAATTTTGTTGCTGTGCAAACTGCAAAATTATTTCCCCGGTACATTTGCTGGTATTATTTGACTGTATGAACATGCTCTAGAGGTATCATTTGCTGCAATCTAGAGTTAACATTATTGAAGTAGACGATAGGTGTCAACTGTCTTACTCTGTTCTACTACTAACGATAGTTGTAAATCTCACTAGTGCATATTTTGTATTGCATTCTGATGTTGACGTCATTTACTTACTGTTGATTGGAAGGAAGTTCCCAGTGACTCCCTTATATGTCAGTTGAACTGACTGGAGTTTTCAAGCAATTGTCTGTGCCTAGCACTTAGTAGTGGTAGCAGCTCTTCGTGTTATATATGTAAAGGTGCTTCCTTGACGTACTATAAGGGAAAATTAGGAGGGAATACAATACCATGACTTGTATATGGTAGAAAGAAGAAAAAATTAGGACGGAATAGAAAGGGTTCTGTTATGAAGAGTAACTTCTCTTGTATGCTGTCATATGTTGTACAATGTGATGTCAATTATCTGTGATAGTTTTTTATGTGTTATGAACTTCTCACGAGCGTGTGCTGTCAATTTCCTAGGGGTTAGTTAGGCTCAGTTATTTCGATGTCAGCTATTTCCTTGTATTATACATGTACTGGATTGATTATTAGGGAATCGATTTGAAGTATTAGTCAGACCTACTATGGGATATTAGATTCTCTTGGTGGCTTTTTTCTGCTAGATAATTGAAACCTATCTGAAGACCTATAACTCCCTGGCTTCTTAAACAGGCTGCAGGGATATGACCATTCTATCTTTGTTAGGAATAATAAAGATTCTGTGATGTTTCCACTATCTTGTTTTAAGACGCCTTTTAATTGATATTCTTTCTGGACCATGAGACATTGAAATGCGTGCGGCCTACATGCAAACTCTTTGTAACATATAGTTTCTGCTTTTCAGAGGAAGTTAATATTGAAATATGCACACAAGTACAGGCTGGGATTATGGAGACCACGAGCTGAACTGATCAAATCGCGATCGGTTTCTTAATAGCTTTTCTTTGTCCCGCCGAAAGTTCACCCATATGCGAATGCTGGATTTTGCTTGGAAAGAACTTGTCGGTTGCTTCTGATTCTACCCGATTTCTTCATCCCGTCTCTATTATGTATCAACCCATTTTCTGTTGCGTAGATATAGATTGGGTAAATTGAACTGCCATGCTCAATTGTGGGATGTTGAATGGACAGGAATATCATTGTTTGTTCAGTCTCTTCAATTTTTGGGCCTAATCTATTGGTTTCTTATAGAGAAAACAGAATTAGGCTGATAAAAATGAAATTTACATGTTACCCAAAAATAGTATTGCAGAGAAAAGGAAAGGGGGGGGGGGGATTTCCGTGAATGCTCTGGGCAATCACCCCAAATTACGATGCTTTAAAGCGTCAAGGCTCCTTAAGTCCTAAGCTAGTGAACGTTCGAAGAGTTCGGTGCCCATCATGTGCATCAAAAGTAAACTGCAACTTAAGATTTCGGAACCATCACCCTGATGATGACAATCCGGTAAGCACCCTTTTTACCAAAACATGTCTTCATGACCCAAACGCCTGGTCTCCAATGATTTTCGACCCAATCTTCAAAGCCACATCAAAAGACCCCATTCAAAAAGAGAAAGGCACTGTGGATGAAAATACCTAGCCATTCAACATTGGTACCTAGAAGGGGCACCGTAGCATGTGTCTATCTTTATGATGCTATACGAATTTTAATAAATCACACTATTTATTTTTTTACTATAATCCAATAAATCACACTATTCAGGGATCATAATAAATTGATTACTTCTATATCCCGAGAGTATAATTCATTTTTAAATTTTCTTTATATAAAAAACGGTATTTAAAAAAAAATGAAAGAAAAGCAAAGCGTGTGGGTCAAACAACCTCCCCATGGAATCAAATTTATTTATTTTATTGGCTTGATCGGGAATGCGAGGACATGTTCTAACTTTTTAGGCTGCGAGGAGACCTGTTATGAAGTGCTTCTATTTTTTTTTTTTTTTGGATCGGTTATTTGAAGTGCTTCTATTTGATTGATGAGGCAACGGAGAGAGGCTTCAAATTCGGAGGGTGTTCAGCCACGGTAAGGGGCGTAGCTTTGGCGAGGAGGGAAAAAAAATTAAAGGAGGGGGGTAATAAGAGGCGACTTTTTAAAAGGAGGCACATGGATGCATGTGAAATGTGATGACTGGAGAAATGGGCACATTAATTGGAAAGAGCACAAATAATGTGATTTCTTGAAACAACGCAGGCGGTCCCTGGTAATGGGATCGCCACCTTGTTATTTGTATGTCGCCATCTGAATCTTGACAGTTGTATTGTCAAGCTTCCCCACGTGTCAATCTTTAATGATGACAGGGACACCTTTTTTTTTTGGATACAAGACCGGGATGTATTTGATTTCAAATTTCTTGCAAATCTTCCCAAAATTTCTATACCAGGCCTCATTCCTATTTCAATTCGAGATTACCGTACCGTAAAAATAGTATAGCCAGTATTTAAATCCCAGAACAGACTTCCATCTAGCTTTAAGTCAAATATAAACAAATTAAAATTTTTCAAAATAAAAATATACGGAACATTTTGGGGCAAAGCATGGCCCTTATTTGTCCGTTGCAGAGACGGTGAGTGTGGATTGTGGGGGAACTCGATCGTTCTGAAAGAGTGAAAGTAGTGCGTGGAAGAACTTTTGTCGAAGCTCACATTGCTGTCACATGCAAGCCAATGCGAGAACTGAGAGTGGGGACGTTCAAGGGTTGGACGCAATTGATAACGTAGGGCATCTGAGGCACATGAGGCTGCCTTGATTAGCCTACATCTCCAACTTTGGAGCCGCTGGGGCAGCGCTTCGCCTTTTCTCCTTATTTGCAACCCCCCATCCCACAAATATCCAAAATTGTTCCCGAATGAATCTTTTCACCATTAATTCACCTCACTTTCAACATTTATTTCTTTCCCCGTAAGCATGAACTCTTCCTGATTAATTAATTGTTGGCAAGGACATCAACATTGGATCCAAAGCACTGTTCGTTTTACTCCAAACCAGCAATTAGCAAATGCTTCACTTTGCGTCATTAGATTCTTCATATACAAATGCTTTTATAGGTCTGTTCATATCCATATAACATACAAAAGGCAGAAGGCGGAGCAAGTTTATTTAAAAAAAAAAAGAAAAGAAACAGAGAGAGAATCCTTGATGGATTCCAACAACATAGTCGGCGAAAACAAAACAGTTTTTTTTTTTTTTTTAACAATTCCTGAATTCTTTCAATTCCGTTTGGTAATAAACCTGATACTGAGTGCATGATAAGCTCAAACTTGGAAGCCTGAAATCTGATTTGCAGGTTCCTCCTGTGGGAATACTTGGGAGTAATTTTAAAGAACTTATCCAGTTTCCTTTCATTAGGAAAAAAACAAAAAAACTGTAAAGGAAACGAATCAAAGCTGGTATTATACGTCAGCTCATCGCTCAATGCTCATATCAAATTCAACAAAAGAATTCTAACAACAAAATGGTGATAGAGGAACTCAGCCCTAGAGGAGGAAAAGAAAGCCATATACACATTAAAATACATGAATTTAAATTTAAAATCCAACATATTTAAAGGGCGAAAAAACACCCAGGGTGCGCTTAACAACGCGGCCGTCAAACTCGTCTCCGACGTTTTCACGGTCGAGGCCGCCCGAGCCGATCGGCAGGCGTGCCACATCCGAGTAGCTCGGTGAGCGCTGTCATGGCTCGCACTTGCATTTCCAAGGCTGAAATATAATCAGTGGTTTCTTCCAGAAGACTCGGAAGCGAAGCCTTCCGGCAACCGGGAACTAACCGGCTAAGAACTCGCGCTTTCCTCTGTACTGTCGGCAGCCTCCTCCTCTCTCTGCTAACCTCCGGTTTCTTCAACCCGTTCACTCCCTTCTTGACCTTCTTGTGCTGCCTATGGAACTTTCTCCGACTGAGAGGAGAGGCCAGTATCGCCCGACTCCACCGAGTCCTGCCTTTCGCCGTCACTGCTAGAACTCTGTCAGCGATCTCACGAACATCGCGTCCGAGGCGAGGTTTCGCCGCAGAAGACGGACTCTGGCGAAGAACACGGCGGAGAGCTTCGACGAGCTTGGAGGAATAGATCCGCTGCTCCGTCTCGGATCTCCAAGGAAACGGAGCGAGCGGCTTATGACCATTGCTGGATTCGTGCCCGATTTTCCTACGCTTTCTCTGATTGCCTTCCCGGTGTGTTTCCGAGCTAGTGGAATCCACAATTGGTTCCAAAGATGCCATATATATTAAAACGGATCAGTACTCCCTGTTCAAGTTTTTGTATATATAGAATCAGAGTAATTTTATGAATACTAATCGAGGGAAGGAGCCCAGGAGGAGGGTGTAGCGGAAAACAGGGGCGAAACGGAAAAGGAACGGATGATCAATATAGCTGTGCCCTTGAATGGAGAATACCGGGGAAGGAGATGCTGGGAAAGGAAGGACCCGGGGGAGGGAAGGGGGGGGGGGGAGCAGCGTTGTGTGATGGCTTTTCTGGTTTTGAATTAGTATTTGTAAGGAGGGAGGGGAAGAGAGGAGGATGGTGGGGCGATAGTGGGAGTAGGGCAGAAAAAAATTTCACTGTTGGACGGAGATTGAAACCTACATGTGGCTTGTGAGCCACCCAGATTAAGCGTATGGCATTTTGTAAATTGCGGTAATTGCAGATGGAGGTTAAGGCAAGGAAGTTTCCTTAAAAGAGGATTAAGACCAAACAGTTGAAGAAATCAGAGAGTTTGACTAATAAACAAGTGAAGATTAGAAAAAACGAAAACCGGGCTTAAAAAATAATAAAAAGTTGGAGGAGGATGCAGACCTCACATGGGAGAAAAAGTTTAGGTTCCTTTAATACCTTGGATTGGACAAGGTGGCCGCCAAGTGGACCACTTGCCGTCTTAGATTATCATATTATGCATATGCATTCCTAACTAATTCGCCTCGTTTTTCTGCAATATCCACCCCTCACCCTCCTTGTATTCCAAGTTTTCGGTTGAACCCACGTTAATCAAAATTCAATCCTCATGGGGAGGCATTGATCAAATCAGACGCATGTGAAGCGAGTATGTAATCAATCAGTAATACCAGTATCATGTGGCACTTCCGGATAAGATTAGACTTGGAATTTAGATCCCCGTTGGCTCAATCATCTTTACTTGCTTGCGAAGATAGAAAGCCAAGGAAAAGAAAGCGAAGGCGGAGAGAGAGAGTTGGGCGGGAGGGGAAGAGAAAGAAAAGATGAGAGCATGATTAGGTTAACCAAGGTGTCTGACTTTCATTTGGTGCAACGTAATTTTTGATTTGTTTTTTGCTTGGCTAGCGAAGCGGTGTTTGGAAGCTTATGTTATTTTGACACGTACGTCACCTTGCGGGTAAAACTTGTCGTTTCCCTTTTGTATCCTTACGCTGGCTCGCACAACGACACAGATCCAATCCAACAGTGCTCCCGCATTGCCGCTCCTTATCCTACGGTTCATACCACCTGACAAGGTTTTATTTATTTTCATTTTTTTAAGGTCATGCCCTCAAAAACGTCCCCCCCCCCCCACAATAATGGTATTGTTTTGCAGCGAAATCAACCGTGAGTGATCAGTTTTACCGTTTCCCCCCTCCTTACACCCAAGGGTTAAAAAAAGGGGAAATTTTCTTTCATACATTCCAGCAAACCAGGTAGTTAAAATATATTTCAAACACACATGACAACCCATAGGAGTAATGTCAAGTTTGCGAAGGAGAAAGAGTACAAGACAAATGGATGACACGTTAGAAAAGGAAAGAAAGAGTCCATGGAATGTGAAAACTGACTGCTTTTCTTAGCTTTTTCTTTTTGATTTGCCTCAGGCGTCAGCCGATCAGGTATTGGGTATGGAAGATTTGAATTATTATCCATTTGTATGTCAATTTGATGAGAAAGGAGAGAGAAAATTTGGGGTGGTGGGGGGTCGTGGGATGAATGATGAGAGGTGTTGGGGGGGGGGGGATGCAGCCAAATGGAATGCATGTGGTTGTTTTCATGCCACTTGCTTGGTACGTATCATCCGCCTCCTTTTCCCCACTTACAATTTTGTTCCTTTGTTCCGGCCGATCTCTGTATCTCTCTCACATGCCAATGCCATGTGGCCAGGTTTCATCCACATTGCCTATAGTCCGATCCCCCCAACATCTCTCGTCCCTCACACAATATCCAATTCTCTCTGCATGAAGCCTCCATTATCATTCCCGCGTTCACACTCACTCTCGCCCCCCCCCCCATCTGGACGCTATTTAATTTAGAGATCGAATCTGGGAAAGATCATATCAGCCTCGCATCCCATAAACATGCCACTCTGTTTTGCCTCCTCCACGCAGACACTTTCCGCTTTCCAATCATTCCCCCACTATTTTCTACCCGTTTAAAAATAGAAGCCAGTCCTCGTTCTTATAAAGTATATGTTGTTTTCCCTTATTATTTTTAGTGTCAATTACCAATGTATTATGTAATAAATGAAAAATATATTTACACAAATATCTAGATTAATAATATAAGAGGTAAATTAGAAAAAAAAAATTTTACATACTAGGCTATTTATATTTTGAACTAAAATTAATTAAAAAATGTTTGTATTTTGAATTTGAGGAGTATCCAATTTCTATGTCCCTCATCTTTCTTCTCTTTTGCATGTAGCCTGTTCTTACTTCCCAATCATCATTTTGACCGATGCCTCTATTCAGTGGCAGTGTTAGAACCCTGAATCAGGAGGTGTAACATTTTTTTTGAGCTTCAACTAAATATATTTAAAATGTTTTTAAAACCTAAATATTTTTTAAAATTTGATTAAGGGGTGCAAAATATTTGAGACAAGAGGTGCAAAATAATAAAATATATAATCCTTTCTAATATTTTTTTTTCAAATTTAAGAGGTCCTTGAATTACACATGGCGCCGCACATGCCTCTATTCCAATTGGTAGAGGAACCCAATTTGCGCTACACTTCCAGTATTTTAAATTATATATAAATCTCCCGTGAGGATGATTTCAAATTGATTGAGTACTGATTGTTCAGAACAGGAGGTAACCCGAGCGGACAGCATGTCCTTGACCCAGAGTCACCATGTTGCTATCCTTCCCAACATGGCTGCCCTTCCACTGCTACTTATTGTTTACATGAGCACGCACATGTCGTTCCACCATTCATGGCTCCTCCATCCTTCCATGTCTTCCCCTGTCCTATCCTGCCATTTATCTAATTAACTTATTCAAACATTTTCTAGAAGTACACTTGATTTAAAATATACAACATTGGGTGAGTTTTATGTATGTTTTACAATTATAACCTTACTTTTATTATATTATAACTCAAGTAATTAATGAGGATACTTTAAATAAGTTAAATATTGTAATTATTTCACTCAAGTGTGCAATTTTTTTCGGCCAAAACTCAAGTGTACAATTGAAAAAATGTAAAAAAAATAAAAAAAAATCAAGTTTTTAATTAGTTCTATTTAAAAAACGTAATATTTTGTTTTTGTTTTTCAAGATATATCCACAGTTAATAATTATGAAACTAATCCCTTGAATAATTTGATTGCTGTTTAAGAGACTTTCCTCTTCCAAATAATCATCTTCGAAAAGGTAAATTAGTCAACAATAATTTATATTATAATTTTAAAAAATAGTTATCAAGACTTTCCATAAAGTTTATGTAGATATTTTAACAGTTTGTTTATTTATTAACCTTCAAGTTAAGTTAATGTTATCAAAGTTACAATATTTCAGGATCAATGACTAAGTAAGTGTTATTAGGATTACAATGTTTTAGGAGTATCAATATATCGTTGGAATTACATCCTCTTAAAGAACACTGATTGAGGTCAGTTCCCAACTGGTTTTGTATTAATCTGTGGACTTCGTTGCGGACTCACCGGCCTTAATCGAGGGAAAGACAAAAACAGGGAGAGAAGACGATAATGCTGATAGGTGATATGTGTTGTGAGTACGACAGTGATGAATGGGGCTTTGAAATGAATTTTAAATGGAGACAGGGAATTAAAATGATGTAATTTGTCGCGTGTCGGGGGATCGTCAGCTCCGATAGTGGAGCGGACTGGCAATCATGAAATGGGCTCCAGGTGCCAAATGTTGTGGAAATCTGTAAATACACCACATTGAAAACCTAAAGTTAGTAATTTAAACCAAATTAGACAGACGAACCTGAACTCATCCAACAAATTTAAAATCAGACTTAATAATAATAATTTTTTAATATTCAGGTTTATCCAGCCCCGAATAAGCCCCAAAATAAAAAATAAAATTTTTTAAAAATATATATAAAATATAATAAATATTAATTAATTCTTTAAATTTTATATTAAAATATTATATATTTTAATGCATTATTATAGTTATTTAAAAAAATAAAAATATTTATATTTTTATATTTTTATTATTATTTATTAATAAAATATCTCAAAATAATATTTAAAATATATTTTAAAATTAATTTTTATATTTTAAGATTCTATTTTTTTAAAAAAAATTAAGTCCTAGACATCATTTTCACATCCATAAAATAATATAATTAATTTTAAAGTAAAAATAATTTTAAAAATAAAATTTGGGTATGTACAAATTCTTGATACTATTACAAAATAAACATAATAACTAAAATAATATTTTTAAATAATTATTTAATTATTGTCCATGCCAGATTTGATTAAAAATTAAGAATAAACTATAGTAAATAACAAGGGTTAAACAATATAAAAAGTTAAAGAAAAAAATAATTTTATGAAAATAGTATTTCACTCATAATTAAATAATTTTGTTGTATATAATATAACGATGACTATTTTTCTCATATTCTTAAAAATAAAAAGTACAGTTTGTCCAAAGATTATTAAAAACTTTGAACTAATTAGGAAGATAATTTTAAGTTAGTAGTTTAATTGTGATTGAATTGAAATCAACTTCATCGTAATTAAAATAATTTAATTTAATTAAAAAAAATATTTAAACAACTAAGATACTAATTTACAAGTAAAGAAAATATTCATTAATAAATTACACATAATACAATAAAATAGTAATAAAGTTAGTACTTAAATACAAAGTTGATAAGTTATTATTTTTTATTTTATTCTTTTAAAATTAAAATAATATTTTATACTTAAAAAATTATTTTTAAAAAGTTTTGGGTATTCGAGATCCAAAAACGTTTAAAGGTGTTAGAGCCATGCTTGACTTTATAGACTTTTTAGAAAAAGTATGATACTTTAAGCTCGATTTGAATAAGTTTGACCTGAATTAAGCTTGATTTAAATAAGCCCGGACTGTCTCCAAAGAAAAAAAGCAAATTAAAGCATCACCTCAAATTGAGCTAAACTAAGTTACTGGCATTTCTTTTCATTTAAATCTTAACTTGTTTATTTCATTTATATAAAAAATTTTACTTTACTGGTCATGAATGGGACAATTATTTTTAGGATTAAAAAAAAATACCCGCAAATCCTTTTTTTCCAAGGACACCCAGTATCTTTAAGTGAATACAAGTGAAAAAAAATAGCCCCTAATGTCAATATAATGGGCACAAATGTGTATAAATTATTAAATTTGACGGACATTCGTTCATGTTAAATGTTAAAAAAAGGAGCTAAACATAAGGTATAAAAATACCATCAACTTTTTATGTAGGAGCTTCTAGCACCTCAAGTCAATAATGACACATAAATGCTCATTAACT